AATAATATCTGTATTTATTTATGTCTCCCGCTGTCCTCCCTGTTCTCTGGACCCAAAGTGGCTCACGACATCTTAAACTCATGCAAACAACCCCCCAAATAAATACACAAACCCACAAACCCAATAAGACAACAATAGATTTATTAAAACACCATAAAACAAGCCACTTCAAAACCAACGCCATACCCACGCACGAATGTGGGTCCTTTGGGGGCAGAGCGGGGTCCGCGTCCTCACCTTGCCGGGCCTTCCCTTGAACCCGGAGCCGGCGGAAGAGCAGCAGCGCCAGCAGGAGGCAGGTCAGCAGGGCGGCGGCAGGACAGGCCACGGCCAGCGCCAGCAGGGAGGGTCCTGGGGGGGAGGAGGAGGGGGAGGAGAAGCGGGGGCGGTCACGGTCGCTCCCCCAAGGACCCCAAACGAGCCACAAAGGTCAACAAAGGGGTCGCTTGGAAGACCCCTGCTGGTGGAGTTCAGAATGCTCTTTGATGGTAGGTGAACGACTAATCCCAGCAACTACAACTCCCAAGGTTGAGAAAGGTTGGGAACCACGGCTCTCGGTGGACTAGATGACCCTTAGAACCCTTCCGACTCCAGGGTTCTAGGTTCCTGTCCTCTCTCTCTCTCTCTCTCTCTCTGTGTCTCATCGGTCAATCATCTGCCCATCTATTTATTTCTATGCATCATCTCTATTAATCAATCTGTCTGTCTCTAGGCATCGATGGATCATCTATAGATCTATTTCTATACATCATCTATCAATCTGTCTGTCTCTAGGTATGCTCTATCAATCCACTCTCTCTATTTATGGATAATCTGTCTCTCTCTATATAATCTATCAATCATCTATATATCTCTAAATATCATCTACCTATTAATCAATTTGTCTCTCTATCTATCTCTATGTATGATCTATCAATCAATCAATCATCTCTCTCTATTTATCTCTATGCGTCATCTATCAATCTATCTATCTCTGTGTATCATCTATCAATCAACTCTATTTATCTCTATGTATCATTTATCTATCAGTCTGTCTATGTATCAGCTATCTATCGGTCTCTTTAGATCATCTATCAATCATCTGTCTATTGATCTCTATGCATCATCTATCTATCTATTCTCTATATGTATCGTTTATCGATCTGTCTGTCTCTATCATCTATCAATCACCTGTCTATTTATCTCTATGTATCACCTACCTATTAATCAATCTGTCTGTCTCTATACATCATCTATCTGTCTGTCTATCATCTCTCTATTTATCTCTATTTATCATTTATCTATTAATCAGTCTGTCTGTCTCTATCATCTATCTATCTATCTATCTATCTATCTATCTATCTATCTATCTATCTATCTATCTATCTATCTCTCTATCATCTCTCTATATGTATTATTTATCTATCAATCTGTCTATCTATCTATCTATCTATCTATCTATCTATCTATCTATCTATCTATCTATCTATCCGTCTGTCTGTCTCAATGTATCATCTATGTGCCATTTGTCCATTTATCTCTATGTATCATCTACCTACTAATCAATTTGCCTGTCTCTCTGTATCATCAATCAATCAATCAATCAATCATCTCTCTGTCTAATTTATTGAGGATCCCCCAGTAGCTGTGGGTTAAAGCACGGAGCTGCTGAGCTTGTTTACTGAAAAGTCACAGGTTCAAATCCGAGGGGGGCGGCATGAGCTTCCATTGTCAGCCCCAGCTCCTGACAAGCTAGCAGTTTGAAAACATGCAAATGTGAGAAGATCAATAGGAAGGTAACGGTGCTCCATGCAGTCACGCCTGTGGCCACATGCCCTTGGAGGTGTCTACGGACAACGCCGGCTCTTCGGCTTCGAAATGGAGATGAGCCCCAGAGTCCTGGAGTTGGACACGAGTGGACGAGCGCCTGTCTTAAGGGATTGGACAGGAAGATTCTGGTGGTCCTTCGCCCCCTCCCTCCCTCCCTCCCCCTCCCCTCCCTCCCTCCTTCTCTCTCTGTCTATGGGGCAGGGGGCCCCTCCCATTCTCTTACTGGTGGGGCTCCTTGGGTCAGGCTCGGCGGGGGCCCCCAGCTCCGGCTGGCAAACCACGTCGCTCTCCTCGGTCCCGGGCGTCTGGATCCGCAGGCCGGGGGGGCACCTGCGGAGGAGGAGCAGCCAGGATTTAGCGGGGGGCAGTGGGGGGGGGGCACGACAACAATGACCATCAGGCCCACAGCCACTTGGCCCACTTGGCTGCTTGTCAGAAAGATTAAAAGTCAACTATTTTTTATTACTAAAGTATGAATCAAGCACTGTTAGAGTTAGTGAACCAAATCTAGTGTTGTCCTGAGGAGTGTGAGGTAAACCTCTGTGTGAGAGAAGCCTCGTCTTACAATTCTATTGTTGGTGGGGTTCAGAATGGTCTTTGGTTGTAGGTGAACTATAAATCCTTGCAACTACAACTCCCAAATGACAACATCAACCCCCCCAAATCTAGTGTTGTCCTGAGGAGTGTGAAGTAAACCTCTGTGTGAGAGAAGGGCTCTGTGGGAGAAGGGCCTCAGTATGAGAAGGCCTCAATGTTAGTTCACCTCAGTGGGAGAGAGCCCTCAGTGGGAGAGAGGTCTCAATGTTAGTTCACCTCAGTAGGAGAGAGCCCTCAGTGGGAGAGAGGTCTCAATGTTAGTACGCCTCAGTGGGAGAGAGCCCTCAGTGAGAGCGAGCCCTCAGTGGGAGAGAGGTCTCAATGTTAGTACGCCTCAGTGGGAGAGAGCCCTCAGTGGGAGAGAGCCCTCAGAGGGAGACAGTTCTCAATGTTAGTTCACCTCAGTGGGAGAGAGCCCTCAGTGGGAGAGAGCCCTCAGCGGGAGAGAGGTTTCAATGTTAGTTCACCTCAGTAGGAGAGAGCCCTCAGCGGGAGAGAGGTCCCAATGTTAGTTCACCTCAGTGGGAGAGAGCCTATTGTGTATTATGTTTTTTATGGTTTTAATTGTATACTGTGCACTGTATATTTTGTTGTAAACCGCGTTGAGTCACCAGTTAGGCTGAGAAACGGCGGTATACAAGGACAGTAAATAAATAAATAAGAGAGCCCTCAGTGGGAGAGAGCCCTCAGTGCGAGAGAGGTCTCAATGTTAGTTCACCTCAGTGGGAGAGTGCCCTCAGTGGGAGAGAGTTCTCAATGTTAGTACACCTCAGTGGGAGAGAGCCCTCAGTGGGAGAGAGCCCTCAGTGCGAGAGAGGTCTCAATGTTAGTTCACCTCAGTGGGAGAGAGCCCCCAGTGGGAGAGAGGTCTCAATGTTAGTACACCTCAGTGGGAGAGAGCCCTCAGTGGGAGAGAGCCCTCAGCGGGAGAGAGGTTTCAATGTTAGTTCACCTCAGTAGGAGAGAGCCCTCAGCGGGAGAGAGGTCCCAATGTTAGTTCACCTCAGTGGGAGAGAGCCCTCAGTGGGAGAGAGCCCTCAGTGTGAGAGAGGTCTCAATGTTAGTTCACCTCAGTGGGAGAGAGCCCTCAGTGGGAGAGAGCCCTCAGGCTGAGAGAGCCCTCAGTGTGAGGTAGGCCTCAGTGTGAGGTAGGCCTCAGTAGGAGAAAGTCCTCAGTCTGAGAGAGCCCTCAGTGTGAGCAGGCCTTGGTGGGACTCACCGGCTCCAGGGGCGGCAGGGTCCTGAGGTCCCGTTGCTGAACTCCCCTTCGGGGCAGCGTTGGCAGCCGCCTGGCAGAGAAAGCAACAAGGAAGGGGGTGTCACGCAAGGAAGGGGGGTCACACTGACACCATCCCCATCTCCCCCCCCCACTGACCTCTGACCTTTCTTGGTGGGCTGCTGACCGTTTGGACAGTCGCACCGGACGCAGGTGTTGCCCCCACACTCTCTTCCCGGGGGGCATCTGCAGACCGCGTTGGCCTCGGGGCCACAGGGACGCAGGTAGGAACGCCCTTCTGAGGCAGGAAGGAAGGAAGGAAGGAAGGGGAGGAAATGGAGGCGGGCTCACCAATCAATCAATCAATCAATCAATAACAGATTTTGTTTACACCCCAAGGAAGGACTCACGGTCACAGACGTCGCAGGGGAGGCAGCCCTCGAGGGGGTCACGGTAGGAGCCTAAGGAAGGAAAGAAGAGGGTGAGGGGTTCTCAGTAGAGGCTGGATGGCCATCTGTCGAGAGGGGTCAGGTGCGACCCTAGGGGATTTTCAGCCGCCCCCCCCAACCAATCACTGATATATATTTTCTGTTCGTTGTCGTGGGAGTTCTGTGTGCCCTATTTGGTTCAATTCCATCATTGGTGGAGTTCAGAATGCTCTTTGATTGTAGGGGAACTATACATCCCAGTAACTACAACTCGCATATTGCACCCCTGGGCAACATCAACTCTACCGCAACTGCTTACTTTGCGTAAGGGTTGCGCCGCCCCTGCCTCCCTGGCTTGTTTACATGGGTAAGGCTCCATGTCCCTTCGGGTCGCCTCTGCTGGTGTTCCTTAAGTAGAACCTGGATGGCCATCTGTCGGGAGGGATCGAATGGTGCCTTCCTTTAGGGCAGAAAGGGGTGGGACTAGATGGCCTTGAGGGAGCCCTAGAGAGAACTATACTCTGGGTGTGTCCCCTTCCCTGGAAGCTTTGAAGGAGATGCTGGATGGCCATCTGTCGGGAGGAATCGAATGTTGCCTTCCTTTAGGGCAGAAAGGGATGGGACTAGATGGCCTTGAGGGAGCGCTTCCAACTCTAGAGAGAAATATACTCTGGGTTTGTCCCCATTCCTGGAGACAACATTGGGACCTCTCTCCCGCTGAGGGCTCTCTCCTACTGAGGTGAACTAACATTGAAACCTCTCTCCCGCTGAGGGCTCTCTCCCACTGAGGGCTCTCTCCCACTGAGGCGTACTAACATTGAGACCTCTCTCCCACTGAGGTGAACTAACATTGAGAACTGTCTCCCTCTGAGGGCTCTCTCCCACTGAGGCGTACTAACATTGAGACCTCTCTCCCACTGAGGTGAACTAACATTGAGAACTGTCTCCCTCTGAGGGCTCTCTCCCACTGAGGCGTACTAACATTGAGACCTCTCTCCCACTGAGGTGAACTAACATTGAGAACTGTCTCCCTCTGAGGGCTCTCTCCCACTGAGGGCTCTCTCCCACTGAGGCGTACTAACATTGAGACCTCTCTCCCACTGAGGTGAACTAACATTGAGAACTGTCTCCCTCTGAGGGCTCTCTCCCACTGAGGGCTCTCTCCCACTGAGGCGTACTAACATTGAGACCTCTCTCCCACTGAGGTGAACTAACATTGAGAACTGTCTCCCTCTGAGGGCTCTCTCCCACTGAGGGCTCTCTCCCACTGAGGCGTACTAACATTGAGACCTCTCTCCCACTGAGGTGAACTAACATTGAGAACTGTCTCCCTCTGAGGGCTCTCTCCCACTGAGGGCTCTCTCCCACTGAGGCGTACTAACATTGAGACCTCTCTCCCACTGAGGTGAACTAACATTGAGAACTGTCTCCCTCTGAGGGCTCTCTCCCACTGAGGGCTCTCTCCCACTGAGGCGTACTAACATTGAGACCTCTCTCCCACTGAGGTGAACTAACATTGAGAACTGTCTCCCTCTGAGGGCTCTCTCCCACTGAGGCGTACTAACATTGAGACCTCTCTCCCACTGAGGTGAACTAACATTGAGAACTGTCTCCCTCTGAGGGCTCTCTCCCACTGAGGGCTCTCTCCCACTGAGGCGTACTAACATTGAGACCTCTCTCCCACTGAGGTGAACTAACATTGAGAACTGTCTCCCTCTGAGGGCTCTCTCCCACTGAGGGCTCTCTCCCACTGAGGCGTACTAACATTGAGACCTCTCTCCCACTGAGGGCTCTCTCCCACTGAGGGCTCTCTCCTACTGAGGTGAACTAACATTGAAACCTCTCTCCCGCTGAGGGCTCTCTCCCACTGAGGGCTCTCTCCCACTGAGGTGAACTAACATTGAGAACTGTCTCCCTCTGAGGGCTCTCTCCCACTGAGGGCTCTCTCCCACTGAGGTTCACATGGGTAAGAACAGATGCCTTTTAGGGACACAAGAGAGAAATATACTTTGCTGGCATTCCCCTATCTGTAGGTTTCTAAGTCAGAGGGTTGGATGGTCATCTGTCGGGAGGGATTGAATGGTGCCTCCCATTATTATGATTATTATGATTATTATTAAATGGCTGTTAGGGCCCCAACTCTATGTAGAATTATTATATTTTGGGTGCGTCCCCTTCCTTGGAGGCTTTGAAGGAGAGTCAGGATGGCCATCTATTGGGAGGGATTGAATGGTGCCTCCCATTATTATGATTATTATTATTATCACTAAAGGGCTTTTAGGGCCTCAACTCTATGTAGAATTATTATATTTTGGGTGCGTCCCCTTCCCTGAAGTCTTTGAACTAGAGTCTGGATGGCCACCTGTCAGGAGAGATTGAATGGTGCCTCCAATTATTATGATGATGATGATCATTATATTATCATGATTATTATGATTATTCTTAAATGGCTTTTAGGGCCCCAATTCTATGGAGAATTATACTCTGGACGCGTCCCCTTCCCTGAAGTCTTTGAAGTAGAGCCTGGATGGCCATCTGTCGGGAGGGATCGAATGGTGCCTCTCATTACTATGATGATTATTATTAGTACTACTAAAGGGCTTTTAGGGCCCCAATTCTATAGAGAATTATACTCTGGACGCGTCCCCTTCCTTCCCTGGAGGTTTTGAAGGAGAGTCTAGATGGCCATCTGTCAGGAGAGATCGAATGGTGCTTCCCATTATTATGATTATTATGATTACTAAATGGCTTTTAGGGCCATAACTCTACAGAGAATTATATTTTGGAGGTGTCCCCTTCCTTCCCTGAAGTCTTTGAAGTAGAGCCTGGATGGCCATCTGTCAGGAGAGATCGAATGGTGCCTCCCATTAGTATTATGATTATTATGATTATTATTACTACTAAATGGCTTTTAGGGCCCCAATTCTATGGAGAATTATCTTCTGGAGGTGCCCCCTCCCTCCCTCCCTCCCTCCCTTCCTTCCTTCCTGGCTGGCCATCTGCCGGGAGGGATCGAATGGTGCCTTGGTGGAGGGCAGAAAGGGAGGGACTCACCTTCCGGGCAGGGGAGGGCGCCGGCCCGCAGGGAGCCCAGCAGGAGCAGCATCAGCGGGACCTCCCGAGCCATCTCCTCCCGAGTGGAGTGAGTGGGGCCCGATCCGCGGCGGGCGGGGCCCTTTAAGGGGCGCGCGCGGGCAAAAGGGGCGGGCCCTCTCCGGGGAGGCCCCGCCCCTCCCCAGGCCCCGCCCCCTCTGCCGCCTCCCAAGCCAGCCGAAGGAGGCGCGCATGCGCAGTTGAGAGGCCAGGCCTCAGGGGGAGGTCCGGCATGGCTTCGAAGCGGGCGCTGGTGATCCTGGCCAAAGGCGCCGAGGAGATGGAGACGGTCATCCCCACAGACCTCATGCGCAGGGCAGGGGTGAGTCCCTCAGGGAGAGGGGCAGGGCCGCAGCACACTGCGCGTGCGCGCCCAGGGGAACTCGAGCAGGGAGAGAGGGCCGCAGGCCACTGCGCATGCGCGCCTGGGAAAGAAGCCAAGCTTCTTGGAGGTTGGAGCGTGGCCATCTGTTGGGAGGGCTTTCACTGTGTGTCTCCTGCCTGGCCGAAGGGGTGGGACTAGGTGCCCTTTGGGGGTCTCTTCCGAGGCTGTAGACCTGTGTGTGTGCAAATAGTGTATACATAGTGATATTTATATTTATATTTATATTTATATATATATATATATATATATATATATATATAAAGTGTACAAACAGTGTTTATATATAATATGTATAGAGTGTGTGAGTGTGTGTATATATATATATATATATATTTGTGTGTATATATATATACACAAATATATGTATATATATACACTCACACACTCTATAGTGTCTATATGTAGTGTTGATATATAATATTTATATATGTCGTGTGCATTTATATGTATATGTAGTGTGTATATATAGGTGGCGCAGTGGGTTAAAGCACTGAGCTGCTGAGCTTGTTGACCAAAAGGTCGCAGGTTCAATTCCAGGGAGTGGCGTGAGCTTCCGCTGTCAGCCCTAGCTTCTGCCAACCTAGCAGTTCGAAAACATGCAAAAAATGTGAGTAGATCAATAGGTACCGCTCCGGCGGGAAGGTAACGGCGCTCCATGCGGTCATGCCCATGGCCACATGACCTTGGAGGTGTCTACGGACAACGCCGGCTCTTGGGCTTAGAAATGGAGATGAGCACCAGAGTCCCAGAGTCAGACATGACTGGACTTAATGGCAGGGGACGACCTTTACCAATAGTGTGTATATTTTTATTTATTTATTTATATTATACTAGCTGTCCCCTGCCACGCATTGCTGTGGCCCACTCTGGTGGTCATGGGGGTTCTGTGTGGGAGGTTTGGCCCAATTCCATCGTTGGTGGGGTTCAGAATGCTCTGTGATTGTAGGTGAACTATAAATCCCAGCAACTACAACTCCCAAATGTCAAGATTCTATTTTCCCCAAACTCCACCAGTGTTCACATTTGGGCATATTGAGTCTTCGTGTAGAGTTTGGTCCAGATCCATCCTTGTTTGAGTCCACAGTGATCTCGTGATGTAGGTGAACTACAACTCCAAAACCAAAGAACACTGCCCACCAAACCCTTCCAGTATTTTCTCTTGGGCATGGGAGTTCTGTGTGCCAAGTTTGGTTCAATTCCATCATTAGTGGAGTTCAGAGTGCTCTTTGATTGTAGGAGAACTATAAATCCCAGCAACTACAACTCCCAAATGACAAAATCATATTTTTTGAGTGAAGGACATACATTGGGTTGTGAGGTGCCTTGTGTCCAAATTTGGTGTCAATTCGTCCAGTGGTTTTTGGGTTCTGTTCATCCCACAAACGAACATGACGTTTATATTTATTTAGATGTGTATATATGTGTATATAGTACATAAAGTGTACAAACAGTGTTTACATAGTGTGTATCCACCCATCTCTCTCTCTCTTCTCTCGCCAGATCTCGGTGACCGTGGCCGGCCTGGCGGGGAAGGAGCCCGTCCAGTGCAGCCGTGACGTGGTCCTGTGTCCGGACAAGAGCCTGGACGAGGCCCGGAAAGAGGTCGGTCCTTCCAAGGAACAACCCGGTCGAAAAAGACCCCGAAGAGGGCCACCCCGCCCTCCCCCTTCTGCTTTAGAGGCACCCTCCAAGCCATAGATATGAAGGGGGTCTGCTCTGTTACATGACAAGTCGGGAGAGAGTAGAGGCCGGGTGGCCATCTGTCGGGGGGGCTTGAGCAGTGCAGATTGGGGTCAGAATGGATGGCCCTTGGGGGTCTCTTCCCGCTGACTTCTCTCCTCGCCTTCCCTTCAGGGGCCGTACGACGTGGTGGTCTTGCCGGGAGGAAACCTGGGGGCCCAAAACCTCTCAGAGGTAAGCAGGGGCCAATGGGAAGGAGCGGCGGGGAATACATTCAAAAGGTTACTGTGTTGTTGAAGCCTCTCATTTATTATTCATTTATTTATTTGCGACATTTGTATGCCGCCCTTCTCACCCCGAAGGGGACTCAGAGCGGCTTACAAGGTATAGATTACATACAATATCTCATATTATTAGTATTAAACATTGCTATAGTGCACCATAACACTATATCGTAATATTATTAGTGATATTATTATTACTAATAATATTATATTAATATTAGTATGATACCTTATTATTATAGTACAGTATTTATTATTATTTTAGTAATATATATATATATATACACACACACACATATATATATATATAAATTGACAACAAATTTGGACACTACACCCCTAACAGACCAACGAGTGACCATCACTCATAACCACCCTCCCCCCCACAAAAAAAAGAGTGGAAAGGACATAAAAATCCCAAAAATAAAAAATAGAGAGGGAAAAAGGGAAGGAAGGGGAGAAAGAAAGAAGGAAAGAAAGAAAGAGAGAGAGAGAGAAGGAAGGAGAGAAAGGGAAAAAGAAAACGGAAGGGAAGGAAGGGGTAGAGAAGGAAAGGAAAGAGGGAGGGAAGGAAAGCCGGAAGGATGGAAGCAAAAAGCAAAGGAAGGAAGGAAAGAGGAAAAGGAAAAGAAAAAGGGGGAAGGAAAAGAGGTAGAGAAGAAAGAAAGGAGAGAAGGAAAAGAAAAAGGAAATGAAGGAAAGAGGAAGCGAAGGAAGGAGAGAAAGAAGGAGGGAAGGAAATACAGAAGGAAGGATGGAAGCAAAAAGCAAAGGAAGGAAGGAAAGAGGAAAAGGAAAAGAAAAAGGGGGAAGGAAAAGAGGTAGAGAAGAAAGAAAGGAGAGAAGGAAAAGAAAAAGGAAATGAAGGAAAGAGGAAGCGAAGGAAGGAGAGAAAGAAGGAGGGAAGGAAATACAGAAGGAAGGATGGAAGCAAAAAGCAAAGGAAGGAAGGAAAGAGGAAAAGGAAAAGAAAAAGGGGGAAGGAAAAGAGGTAGAGAAGAAAGAAAGGAGAGAAGGAAAAGAAAAAGGAAATGAAGGAAAGAGGAAGCGAAGGAAGGAGAGAAAGAAGGAGGGAAGGAAATACAGAAGGAAGGATGGAAGCAAAAAGCAAAGGAAGGAAGGAAAGAGGAAAAGGAAAAGAAAAAGGGGGAAGGAAAAGAGGTAGAGAAGAAAGAAAGGAGAGAAGGAAAAGAAAAAGGAAATGAAGGAAAGAGGAAGCGAAGGAAGGAGAGAAAGAAGGAGGGAAGGAAATACAGAAGGAAGGATGGAAGCAAAAAGCAAAGGAAGGAAGGAAAGAGGAAAAGGAAAAGAAAAAGGGGGAAGGAAAAGAGGTAGAGAAGAAAGAAAGGAGAGAAGGAAAAGAAAAAGGAAATGAAGGAAAGAGGAAGCGAAGGAAGGAGAGAAAGAAGGAGGGAAGGAAATACAGAAGGAAGGATGGAAGCAAAAAGCAAAGGAAGGAAGGAAAGAGGAAAAGGAAAAGAAAAAGGGGGAAGGAAAAGAGGTAGAGAAGAAAGAAAGGAGAGAAGGAAAAGAAAAAGGAAATGAAGGAAAGAGGAAGCGAAGGAAGGAGAGAAAGAAGGAGGGAAGGAAATACAGAAGGAAGGATGGAAGCAAAAAGCAAAGGAAGGAAGGAAAGAGGAAAAGGAAAAGAAAAAGGGGGAAGGAAAAGAGGTAGAGAAGAAAGAAAGGAGAGAAGGAAAAGAAAAAGGAAATGAAGGAAAGAGGAAGCGAAGGAAGGAGAGAAAGAAGGAGGGAAGGAAATACAGAAGGAAGGATGGAAGCAAAAAGCGAAGGAAGGAAGGAAAGAGGAAAAGGAAAAGAAAAAGGGGGAAGGAAAAGAGGTAGAGAAGAAAGAAAGGAGAGAAGGAAAAGAAAAAGGAAATGAAGGAAAGAGGAAGCGAAGGAAGGAGAGAAAGAAGGAGGGAAGGAAATACAGAAGGAAGGATGGAAGCAAAAAGCAAAGGAAGGAAGGAAAGAGGAAAAGGAAAAGAAAAAGGGGGAAGGAAAAGAGGTAGAGAAGAAAGAAAGGAGAGAAGGAAAAGAAAAAGGAAATGAAGGAAAGAGGAAGCGAAGGAAGGAGAGAAAGAAGGAGGGAAGGAAATACAGAAGGAAGGATGGAAGCAAAAAGCAAAGGAAGGAAGGAAAGAGGAAAAGGAAAAGAAAAAGGGGGAAGGAAAAGAGGTAGAGAAGAAAGAAAGGAGAGAAGGAAAAGAAAAAGGAAATGAAGGAAAGAGGAAGCGAAGGAAGGAGAGAAAGAAGGAGGGAAGGAAATACAGAAGGAAGGATGGAAGCAAAAAGCGAAGGAAGGAAGGAAAGAGGAAAAGGAAAAGAAAAAGGGGGAAGGAAAAGAGGTAGAGAAGAAAGAAAGGAGAGAAGGAAAAGAAAAAGGAAATGAAGGAAAGAGGAAGCGAAGGAAGGAGAGAAAGAAGGAGGGAAGGAAATACAGAAGGAAGGATGGAAGCAAAAAGCGAAGGAAGGAAGGAAAGAGGAAAAGGAAAAGAAAAAGGGGGAAGGAAAAGAGGTAGAGAAGAAAGAAAGGAGAGAAGGAAAAGAAAAAGGAAATGAAGGAAAGAGGAAGCGAAGGAAGGAGAGAAAGAAGGAGGGAAGGAAATACAGAAGGAAGGATGGAAGCAAAAAGCGAAGGAAGGAAGGAAAGAGGAAAAGGAAAAGAAAAAGGGGGAAGGAAAAGAGGTAGAGAAGAAAGAAAGGAGAGAAGGAAAAGAAAAAGGAAATGAAGGAAAGAGGAAGCGAAGGAAGGAGAGAGAGAAGGAGGGAAGGAAATACAGAAGGAAGGATGGAAGCAAAAAGCGAAGGAAGGAAGGAAAGAGGAAAAGGAAAAGAAAAAGGGGGAAGGAAAAGAGGTAGAGAAGAAAGAAAGGAGAGAAGGAAAAGAAAAAGGAAATGAAGGAAAGAGGAAGCGAAGGAAGGAGAGAGAGAAGGAGGGAAGGAAATACAGAAGGAAGGATGGAAGCAAAAAGCGAAGGAAGGAAGGAAAGAGGAAAAGGAAAAGAAAAAGGGGGAAGGAAAAGAGGTAGAGAAGAAAGAAAGGAGAGAAGGAAAAGAAAAAGGAAATGAAGGAAAGAGGAAGCGAAGGAAGGAGAGAAAGAAGGAGGGAAGGAAATACAGAAGGAAGGATGGAAGCAAAAAGCAAAGGAAGGAAGGAAAGAGGAAAAGGAAAAGAAAAAGGGGGAAGGAAAAGAGGTAGAGAAGAAAGAAAGGAGAGAAGGAAAAGAAAAAGGAAATGAAGGAAAGAGGAAGCGAAGGAAGGAGAGAAAGAAGGAGGGAAGGAAATACAGAAGGAAGGATGGAAGCAAAAAGCGAAGGAAGGAAGGAAAGAGGAAAAGGAAAAGAAAAAGGGGGAAGGAAAAGAGGTAGAGAAGAAAGAAAGGAGAGAAGGAAAAGAAAAAGGAAATGAAGGAAAGAGGAAGCGAAGGAAGGAGGGAAAGGAGGGAAGGAAATACAGAAGGAAGGATGGAAGCAAAAAGCGAAGGAAGGAAGGAAAGAGGAAAAGGAAAAGAAAAAGGGGGAAGGAAAAGAGGTAGAGAAGAAAGAAAGGAGAGAAGGAAAAGAAAAAGGAAATGAAGGAAAGAGGAAGCGAAGGAAGGAGAGAGAGAAGGAGGGAAGGAAATACAGAAGGAAGGATGGAAGCAAAAAGCGAAGGAAGGAAGGAAAGAGGAAAAGGAAAAGAAAAAGGGGGAAGGAAAAGAGGTAGAGAAGAAAGAAAGGAGAGAAGGAAAAGAAAAAGGAAATGAAGGAAAGAGGAAGCGAAGGAAGGAGAGAAAGAAGGAGGGAAGGAAATACAGAAGGAAGGATGGAAGCAAAAAGCGAAGGAAGGAAGGAAAGAGGAAAAGGAAAAGAAAAAGGGGGAAGGAAAAGAGGTAGAGAAGAAAGAAAGGAGAGAAGGAAAAGAAAAAGGAAATGAAGGAAAGAGGAAGCGAAGGAAGGAGAGAAAGAAGGAGGGAAGGAAATACAGAAGGAAGGATGGAAGCAAAAAGCGAAGGAAGGAAGGAAAGAGGAAAAGGAAAAGAAAAAGGGGGAAGGAAAAGAGGTAGAGAAGAAAGAAAGGAGAGAAGGAAAAGAAAAAGGAAATGAAGGAAAGAGGAAGCGAAGGAAGGAGAGAAAGAAGGAGGGAAGGAAATACAGAAGGAAGGATGGAAGCAAAAAGCGAAGGAAGGAAGGAAAGAGGAAAAGGAAAAGAAAAAGGGGGAAGGAAAAGAGGTAGAGAAGAAAGAAAGGAGAGAAGGAAAAGAAAAAGGAAATGAAGGAAAGAGGAAGCGAAGGAAGGAGAGAAAGAAGGAGGGAAGGAAATACAGAAGGAAGGATGGAAGCAAAAAGCGAAGGAAGGAAGGAAAGAGGAAAAGGAAAAGAAAAAGGGGGAAGGAAAAGAGGTAGAGAAGAAAGAAAGGAGAGAAGGAAAAGAAAAAGGAAATGAAGGAAAGAGGAAGCGAAGGAAGGAGAGAAAGAAGGAGGGAAGGAAATACAGAAGGAAGGATGGAAGCAAAAAGCGAAGGAAGGAAGGAAAGAGGAAAAGGAAAAGAAAAAGGGGGAAGGAAAAGAGGTAGAGAAGAAAGAAAGGAGAGAAGGAAAAGAAAAAGGAAATGAAGGAAAGAGGAAGCGAAGGAAGGAGAGAAAGAAGGAGGGAAGGAAATACAGAAGGAAGGATGGAAGCAAAAAGCGAAGGAAGGAAGGAAAGAGGAAAAGGAAAAGAAAAAGGGGGAAGGAAAAGAGGTAGAGAAGAAAGAAAGGAGAGAAGGAAAAGAAAAAGGAAATGAAGGAAAGAGGAAGCGAAGGAAGGAGAGAAAGAAGGAGGGAAGGAAATACAGAAGGAAGGATGGAAGCAAAAAGCGAAGGAAGGAAGGAAAGAGGAAAAGGAAAAGAAAAAGGGGGAAGGAAAAGAGGTAGAGAAGAAAGAAAGGAGAGAAGGAAAAGAAAAAGGAAATGAAGGAAAGAGGAAGCGAAGGAAGGAGAGAAAGAAGGAGGGAAGGAAATACAGAAGGAAGGATGGAAGCAAAAAGCGAAGGAAGGAAGGAAAGAGGAAAAGGAAAAGAAAAAGGGGGAAGGAAAAGAGGTAGAGAAGAAAGAAAGGAGAGAAGGAAAAGAAAAAGGAAATGAAGGAAAGAGGAAGCGAAGGAAGGAGGGAAGGAAAGAGAAGGAAGGATGGAAGCAAAAAGCAAAGGAAGGAAGGAAAGAGGAAAAGGAAAAGAAAAAGGGGGAAGGAAAAGAGGTAGAGAAGAAAGAAAGGAGAGAAGGAAAAGAAAAAGGAAATGAAGGAAAGAGGAAGCGAAGGAAGGAGGGAAGGAAAGAGAAGGAAGGATGGAAGCAAAAAGCAAAGGAAGGAAGGAAAGAGGAAAAGGAAAAGAAAAAGGGGGAAGGAAAAGAGGTAGAGAAGAAAGAAAGGAGAGAAGGAAAAGAAAAAGGAAATGAAGGAAAGAGGAAGCGAAGGAAGGAGGGAAGGAAAGAGAAGGAAGGATGGAAGCAAAAAGCAAAGGAAGGAAGGAAAGAGGAAAAGGAAAAGAAAAAGGGGGAAGGAAAAGAGGTAGAGAAGAAAGAAAGGAGAGAAGGAAAAGAAAAAGGAAATGAAGGAAAGAGGAAGCGAAGGAAGGAGGGAAGGAAAGAGAAGGAAGGATGGAAGCAAAAAGCAAAGGAAGGAAGGAAAGAGGAAAAGGAAAAGAAAAAGGGGGAAGGAAAAGAGGTAGAGAAGAAAGAAAGGAGAGAAGGAAAAGAAAAAGGAAATGAAGGAAAGAGGAAGCGAAGGAAGGAGGGAAGGAAAGAGAAGGAAGGATGGAAGCAAAAAGCAAAGGAAGGAAGGAAAGAGGAAAAGGAAAAGAAAAAGGGGGAAGGAAAAGAGGTAGAGAAGAAAGAAAGGAGAGAAGGAAAAGAAAAAGGAAATGAAGGAAAGAGGAAGCGAAGGAAGGAGAGAAAGAAGGAGGGAAGGAAATACAGAAGGAAGGATGGAAGCAAAAAGCAAAGGAAGGAAGGAAAGAGGAAAAGGAAAAGAAAAAGGGGGAAGGAAAAGAGGTAGAGAAGAAAGAAAGGAGAGAAGGAAAAGAAAAAGGAAATGAAGGAAAGAGGAAGCGAAGGAAGGAGAGAAAGAAGGAGGGAAGGAAATACAGAAGGAAGGATGGAAGCAAAAAGCAAAGGAAGGAAGGAAAGAGGAAAAGGAAAAGAAAAAGGGGGAAGGAAAAGAGGTAGAGAAGAAAGAAAGGAGAGAAGGAAAAGAAAAAGGAAATGAAGGAAAGAGGAAGCGAAGGAAGGAGAGAAAGAAGGAGGGAAGGAAATACAGAAGGAAGGATGGAAGCAAAAAGCAAAGGAAGGAAAAAAAGAGGTAGAGAAGGAAGAAAAGAGAGAAAGAGGGAGGGAAGGAAAGACAGAAGGAAGGATGGAAGCTAAAAGCAAAGGAAGGAAGGAAAGAAAAAGGGGGAAGGAAAGAAAGAGGTAGAGAAGAAAGGTAAGAGAGAAGGAAAGTAAAAAGGAAATGAAGGAAAGAGGAAGCGAAGGAAGGAGAGAAAGAGGGAGGGGAAAGGAGAGAAAGGGAGGGAAGGTTGGCCACAGCAACGCGTGGCGGGTACAGCTAGTTTATTATAAATATAATTTATAATATTTATAATATAATGTATTATGATGTTATTTTATGAATAATAATTTAATTTTGTGTGATTAATGTCTTGTTTACACGCCCGCCTTGTCCTGAAACCTTGCTCTTCCTGTCCAATGCTCTCCCTTTCCAGTCTCCGGCCGTGAAGGACGTCTTGAAGGAGCAGGACGGCCGGAAAGCCCTCATTGCCGCCATCTGCGCAGGTGGGACACGGACACACACTCACACACGCACATGCACACGCACACGCACCCTGGGGGGCTGAAGGGACACCCCATTACTCCTGTCCTCTGTGGGGTCCGTGTGGGGCCTTTGGGTGGGAAATGCCGAGAAGGGGAAGCGGCTCTGCTGCTCTCTTGGCTCTCTTCCGGGAAGGGAAGCAGACTCAAGATCGATCTGACGGGAGATCTTGCGCCTGACCTTTGGGCCTCTCACGCCCACAATCCCCGGCTCAAAAAGCCAGAGGACTGCCATGGGAGGATGATGGGCTTTGGAGTCCCCTTCTCAGGGTTTCTCAGCCTCTCTCAGGCTGCGTCACCTTCATAGAGTGCCTCATATTATTGTTATTATTATTATTATTATTATTATTATTATTATTATTATTATTATTATGATGCCTCATATTGTGACCCATAACCATAAAAATATTTTTGATGCTACTTCAGAGCTGTCGTTTTGCTCCTGTTACGAATCGCAACGTACATAATAAATAAATAAATAAATAAGTATATAAATACTATTACTTATAATAATAATAATATAATATAATAATAATATAGTATAATAATATAAACTACTACTTATAATAATACAATAATATAAGTATTAATAAATAGTAATAAGAATAATAATACAAGCAATTGAAATAAAAAACACAGACAATAAAATATGCGACAATTTGGCTTTATGTATTTATTCTGTTTGTATTTTAACTTATTGTGATGTTATTGTGTTTTTATATTGATTGATTTTCTGCTGTTTGCCGGCCCGAGTCCCTCTGCGGAGGTTGAGAAGACCAGGGCAGAAAAGTTTAAAATAAATAAATAAAATAATCTGTTTATTAATTTATTAATATTATTTACTGTTTTATTAATATTAGTGTTATGTTGCATCGGTTGAGACTCAGTGATGAAATAGTCACTGAAAAACTGGAGCCAAATGTGTTGCAGGATGTCCCACAAAAACAAAAGTTTTTTGCAGTGGAATAATCCTTTCCCGTGGGTTGTTGTAGGTTTTCTCGGGCTCTATGGCCATGTTCTGGAGGCATTTTCTCCTGACATTTCACCCGCATCTATGGCAAGCAACCTCAGAGGGAGTGAGGTCTGTTGGAACTAGGAAAATGGGTTTATATATCTCTGGAATAATGTCCAGGGTGGGACAAAGGACTCTTGTCTGCTGGAGCTAGGTGGGAATGTTTCAACTGACCACCTTGATTAGCATATAATGGCCTGACAGTGCCAACAGCAAACTTTCGTTGAGAGGTGATTAGATGTCCTTGTTGTAGGTTTTTCCGGGTTATATGGCCATGGCCTAGAGGCATTCTCTCCTGACGTTTCGCCTGCATCTATGGCAAGCGCCCTCAGAGGTAGTGAGGTCTGTTGGAACTAGGAAAAAGGGTTTATATATCTGTGGAAGGACCAGGGTGGGACAAAGGACTCTTGTCTGCTGGAGCTAGGTGAACCAACCTGGACACAGCATATTATTTGAGAAGACACAAGTGCTGGAAATGCCACTCTCACAACCACCATGTCAGGCTGCACAGAGAAGCCATTGAGATCCACAAGAAGCAAGTGGACAATTTCAACAGAAAGGAAGAAACCATGAAAAAGAACAAAATCTGGCTACCAGTATTCAAAAACTCAAAAATTACAACAGCAAAACAACAGAGAGGAAACAATCGCCTCTCAACATTCCCCCAGGCACTGCCAGGACTTCAAATGCTAATGAAGGTGGTCAGTTGAAACATTCACACCCAGCTCCAGCAGACAAGAGTCCTTTGTCCCACCCTGGTCATTATTCCACAGATATATAAACCCATTTTTCCTATTTCCAACAGACTTCACTCCCTCTGAGGATGCTTGCCAGAGATGCAGGCAAAACGTCAGGAGAGAATGCCTCCAGAACATGGCCATACAGCCTGGAAAAACCTACAACAACCCCGTGATTCCGGCCATGAAAGCCTTCGACAATAAACCTTTCCTGTGTTTTCATAAGAGAACCAATTAGGAAACGACCTGGATCGCCCAGGAACATGATGCAGGGACAGGGACCGAAGCGGGCCCTCTCTGGGAAGGTGCTGGGGGTGGAACGGAGCTCCAAGACCCAATATGGAGCCCCAAGAACAGCCCTGTCCTCCCTTGGCCAGGGGAGCGGTGTCCTTGGCTGGTCAGCCCGGTCGGTGCCCTTTGGCCTTTGCAGCCGGCCGGCCAGCGGCTCCTCTTACGCCCCCCCCCCCCCCCCCCCCCCCCCCCCCCCCCCCCCCGTTCTCCCAGGAAGCCTGATTGACATCTGCCTGAGACGGGAGGGACCTTTCCCCGTCTGGGCGGCCCTGTGGCTTCGGTTTCCTGCCGGCCGGCCTCCCTTCCGAGAGTTGTGATGACACCACTGCTGCTCCGAAGGGCTTTTTCCCCCGCTAGTTTCAGTCTGAGCTGTGGGTTTCCTCCTCGGAGGGCCTGTTATCGCTCGCTCTGCCGTCACGGCATCGCCAACGGCAAAAGGGCACGCCGCCGTCATTTCTGGCATTAGGCGGTTGACGGGCGCGAATCGGGGAGGAAGGGAGCTCCCCTTTGAATCGGCCACGCGTCCATCCAGGGCGCGGGCCTCTCTTCCGTGGCGCCACCACCACCGATGCCGGGTGCAGGAGTCGTTGTTTAGTGACGGCTGAGACCAGTGTGCTCAACGTCCGGCCAATGGCAGCCCTCACTCACATTTCCACTGGCCTGCGCTCTCTCTCTCTCTCTCTCTCTCTCTCTCTCATGAAACCAACAATATTTATGTATGTATTGATGTATTTGCACCATTTATATGCCACCCTTCTCACCCCGAAGGGACTCAGAGCGGCTTACAAGACAGACATATATATTATTATTATTATTATTATTATTATTATTATTAATAATAAATTATTATAAATAAATTACTATTATAAATAAAAATAGTTATTGTTACTAAAGCCATTGTTATTATAAACTATATTATTATTGGAAACACAACAAGGTGAGTCCACAGCAGACACTCTGCTATACTATTATTATTATTATTATTATTATTATTAGAAACACAACAAACAAGATCACTCTGCTGGGTGTTGTATTAGATCACACGTCGGACCCTTCCCAAGTGTCTAGGAGTGTGTCATGTATCGCCGAATAATGCGCGCAGATCCCAATCAGGTGGCAAGTGGTAATTTTGTCAGTGCCGATTGTGTTTAAGTGCAGGCCAGGGTCTTGAGGCACTGCGCCCAGTGTGCCAGTCACCACTTGGACCACCTTTACCAGCTTGTTCTAATATTTTCACAAACCCCAATGACATCTAGACATTTGATGATCCAACAATGTGGCAGTGAGCCAAATGCTTTATTATTATTATTATTATTATTATTATTATTATTATTAGAAACACAACAAGATTTTATTTATTTCTCGTGTCAGGGCAGCCAGTCAATTATGTGACATTTCTAACAGAACAAAGCAAACAAACCAACAAACAGAGAAAATACACAACAAGATGAGTACACAGCAAACAAGGTCACTCTGCTGTGTGATCCAATGCAATGGCTGTTGTATCGGATCACACGCCGGACCCTTCCCAAGTGTCTAGGAGTGTGTGATGTATCAGTGAATAATGCGCGCAGATCCCAGTCAGGTGGCAGGCGGTGATTTTGTCAGTGCCGATTGTGTTTAAGTGCAGGCCAAGGTCTTGAGGCGCTGCACCCAGTGTGTCCTAGACGCTTGGGAAGTGTTCGACTTGTGGTTTTGTGATACGGAATCCAGAATATTGATCTCATTTGCTATGACATGCTGTGTTTTTGTGTCAGTAAAATAATAATAATAATAATAATAATACAACGCTCCTGACCTCACGATCGTGGGACTTCTGAATTCAGACGGAGAGAGTTCTGGAGCAGAACATGTTCATGGCATGTCGTTGGCAGGAGGGTGTTTAGTGTCTCCTGAGGAGTGGGAGCCACAGCTGTTTGTGGAAGTGGGAAGTGTACACCCCCCCCCCCACACACACACACACACATATTTACACTTTATGTGTACAGATAGATAGATAGATAGATAGATACGTTCCCCTATGTAGTAGGCATGTGCAGTCCATGCTTCTAAGTCAGTGGTTCTCAACCTTCCTAATGTCGCGACCCCTTAATATGGTTCCTCGTGTTGTGGTGACCCCCAACCATAACATTATTTCCGTTGCTACTTCACAACTGTAATTTTGCTGCTGATATGAATCATAATGTAAATATCTGGTTTGCAGGATGTACTTTCATTCACTGGACCAAATTTGCAATAGAATTGTAAGACGAGGCTTCTCTCACACAAAGGTTTACCTCACACTCCTCAGGACAACACTAGATTTGGAGGGTTGACTTTGTCATTTGGGAATTGTAGTTGCAGGGATTTATAGTTCACATACAACCAAAGACCATTCTGAACCCCACCAACAATAGAATTGTAAGACGAGGCTTCTCTCACACAAAGGTTTACCTCACACTCCTCAGGACAACACTAGATTTGGAGGGTTGACTTTGTCATTTGGGAATTGTAGTTGCTGGGATTTATAGTTCACATACAACCAAAGACCATTCTGAACCCCACCAACGATGGAACTGAACTAAACTTGGCACACAGAACTCCCATGACAAACAAAAAAATACTGGAAGGGTTTGGTGGGCATTGACCTTGAGTTTGGGAGTTATAGTTCATCTACATCCAAAGTGTGGACTGCAGCAATGATGGCTCTGGGCCAAACTTAGCATAAATACTCAATCTGCCCAAATGTGAACACTGGTGGAATTTGGAGGCAATAGACCTTGACGTGTGGGAGCTGTAGTTGCTGGGATTTATAGTTCATCTATAATAAAAGAGCCTTCTGAACTCCACCAATGATGGAACTGAACTAAACTTGGCACACAGAACTCCCATGACCAACACAAAATACTGGAAGGGTTTGGTGGGCATTGACCTTGAGTTTGGGAGTTGTAGTTCATCTACATCCAAAGTGTGGACTGCAGCAATGATGGCTCTGGACCAAACTTGGCACAAATACTCAATCTGCCCAAATGTGAACACTGGTGGAATTTGGGGACAATAGACCTTGACATTTGGCAGCTGTAGTTGCTGGGATTTATAGTTCACCTACAATCTGAACCTCACCAATGATAGAATTGGGCCAATCTTCCCATGACCAGTAGAAAATACTGTTTTCCGATGGTCTTTGGTGACCCCTCTGACACCCCCCCCCCCCAGGGGTCCTGACCCCCAGGTTGAGAAACGCTGTTGTAAGTGGTCCTAAAGCTCTTACAAAACTAAAATTCCGGTGGTGAACACTAGGGGGCGCTGGTGCTTTAGTGTGGCTCAATTTTGGTGGTGAAAATTTCAGAACTCTAACAAAACTTTCACACTTTCCTTATTATTTCATTATTGATGGTTTTTATGACAGAACCAATTAGGAACTGCCATTATTATTAACAATTAAATATTATTATCAAATAATTAATAATAATTAATTATTAATAATAATTAAATATTATTAAATTTTAATTATTATTAAATATGATTATTATTAAAGGGTTGGACTGGTCTCTTCCAACTCTTTGATTCTTTGATTCTATGATTTATAAATAAATTTTGAAAGCACGGGACTCTCACAAGATATTCCCCCCCCCCCCCCGCCCTCTTCCTCAGCTGGACTTCAGGTGGCTGACAACAATGCAGAGTCCATATGTCTTGATTGACCACCTTCTCAACCCCGGAGGGGGCTCAGGGCGGCCTCGCAAAGGCAACCACGCAATGCCACAGATTCACGTTCAAACCAAACCCATTAAAAACGTAGCAATGAAAATGCATGATCCGAAGACAGAGTTGGGATCCAATACTGGGTCAAATGACTGACGGTTCCTCCCTGTGGCCCCAGGTCCCACCGCGCTGCTGGCGCACGGCATCGGCTTCGGGCGCAAAGTGACGACGCACCCCTTGGCCAAGGACAAGATGATGGCCGGAGGTAGGCTGGGCGGCCATCTGTCGGGAGGGCTTGGGTTGTGCCTTTCCTCCGTGGCATAAATGGGGTGGGACTGAATGGCCATCTGTCAGGAAGGCTTGAATGGTGTCCTTCCTGGTAGAAGCGGGTGGGGTGGGCAGATTGAATATAGTGTATTTGCCTATCATCTGTGGCAGGATGGCCATCTGTCGGGAGGGCTTGGGTTGTGCCTTTCCTCCGTGGCATAAATGGGGTGGGACTGAATGGCCATCTGTCAGGAGGGCTTGAATGGTGTCCTTCCTGGTAGAAGGGGGTGGGGTGGGCAGATTGAATATAGTGTATCTGGCTGGAGGGCCATCTGTTGGGAGGGCTTGAATGCTCTCCTTTATGACAGAAGGAGTTTAGATTGGGCCTTAGGGGGTCCCTTCCAACTGGGATTCTGGGGTGTCCTTGCCATCGCTATGGCTGGGTGTCGTATGTGTGTATGTGTGTGTGTGTGACATTTAGACAGATAAATATATCTATGGCTCAGTGGCCATCTGTTGGGAGCGCTTGGATGGTGTCCTTTATGGCACAACAAGGTCAGACTGGGTGGCCTTTGGGGGTCCCTTCCAATTGTAGGATTCTGTGCTATGCTTGCCATATCTATGGCTGGGTGGCCATCTGTCAGGAGGGCTTTAATTGTGTCTTTCGTGGCAGAAGGAGGCTGGACTAAATGTCCCTTCCAACTCTGGGATTCTATGATGTGCTATCTATCTCAATCATATCTTTGGCTGAGTGGCCAACTGTTGGGAGGGTTTGGACGGTGTCCTCCTTTATTTCAGAAAGAGGGTCAGACTGAATGGCCCTTGGGGGTCCCTTCCACCTATTAAGATTCTGTGGTATGCCTGTCCTGTGTGTGTGCACACCATTTTGATAGATAAGTAAGTATATCTATGGCTACGTGGCCATCTGTTGGGAAGGCTTGGATGGTGTCCTTTATGGCGCAACAAGGTCAGGCTGGATGGCCTTTGGAATCACTTCCAACTCTAGGATTCTATGATATGCCTGTCGTGTGTGTGTGTGTGTGTGTGTGTGTGTGTATGAGAGATATATTATGGTATTTATATCTATCTCAATCATCTGTATGACTTGGTGGCCATCTATTGGGAGGGCTTTAGTGGTGTCTTTCATGGCAGAATGGGGTTGGGCAGGATGGTCTTTGGGGGTCCCTTCCAACTCTTGCGTAATTTATCTATCTCAGTCACCTCTATGGCTGGGTGTCCATCTGTCAGGAGGGCTTTAATGGTGTCTTTCATGGCAAAAGAGGGTCAGGCTGGATGGCCTTTGGGGGTCCCTTTGAACTCACTCAAGGAGATGGAGAGCTCAGATCTGTGTTGCGGGGCCTTGCGCTGTCCTCTCCTCCTCCTCCTCCTCCCTCTCTCTTTCCTCCAGACCACTACAAATACTCGGAGAGCCGCGTGGAGAAGGACGGCCACGTGCTGACCAGCCGTGGACCGGGCACCAGCTTTGAGTTTGGCCTGGCCATCGTGGAGGAGCTGCTGGGGAAGGAGGTGGCCGCCCAGGTCAAGGCCCCGCTCGTCCTGAAGGATTAGGGGGGGGCAGACCCCCCAGGGAGAGACCCTGAAGCCCCCCCCCCCCATTGGGGGCACTGCCCTCGGAGACCCCTGGGAGTCCCATGACGCGCCCCATATCCGTGTGCCCCCCACATCCCCCCCCCCACTTCCTGGGAATTACTCACCTTGAATAAAATATGATGTTTGAATGGCTGGCATTATTTGGGGGGGGGCATTACTACTACTACTACTACTACTACTACTACTAATAATAATAATAATAATAATAATATAGTTTATCATAAAGACTGCCTTGATAATATTAACTATTTTTATTCCATCTATATTCGATCTATCTAAATAAAAATGTCCCATGTTCCTTTGCGGGATTAACATAACTCAAAATCCACTGGACAAATGGACACGAAGTTTGGACACGACACCCCTAGCGGACCAATGAGTGGCCGGCACTCGCAACCCCAAAAGCAGAAAGGACTCAAGAACCCCAAAAAGCTAAATGATGAAAAATTAAATGACAATACAGAAAAAAGGGAAAGAAGGGGAGGAAGGAGAGAAAGAAGGAAGGAAAGAAAGAAAGAAAGAAGGAAGGAAAGAGAGGAGGAAGCCTGGAAGCAAAGGGAGGGAGGAAAGAGGTAGAGAAGGAAGAAAGGAGAAAAAGAGGAAGGGAAAGAAAAGGGGTAAGGAAAGAAAGAAGGAGAGAAGGAAGGAGAGAAGGAAAGAAAAAAGGAAAGAGGGAGCAAAGGAAGGAGGGAAAGAAGGCGAGAAAAAGAGAGGGAAGGAAAGAGAGAAGGAAGCCTGGAAGCAAAGGGAGGGAGGAAAGAGGTAGAGAAGGAAGAAAGGAGAAAAAGAGGAAGGGAAAGAAAAGGGGTAAGGAAAGAAAGAAGTAGAGAAGGAAGGAGAGAAGGAAAGAAAAAAGGAAAGAGGGAGCAAAGGAAGGAGGGAAAGAAGGCGAGAAAAAGAGAGGGAAGGAAAGAGAGAAGGAAGCCTGGAAGCAAAGGGAGGGAGGAAAGAGGTAGAGAAGGAAGAAAGGAGAAAAAGAGGAAGGGAAAGAAAAGGGGTAAGGAAAGAAAGAAGGAGAGAAGGAAGGAGAGAAGGAAAGAAAAAAGGAAAGAGGGAGCAAAGGAAGGAGGGAAAGAAGGCGAGAAAGAGGGAGGGAAGGAAAGAGAGAAGGAAGGAAGGAAAGAGAGGAGGAAGCCTGGAAGCAAAGGGAGGGAGGAAAGAGGTAGAGAAGGAAGAAAGGAGAAAAAGAGGAAGGGAAAGAAAAGGGGTAAGGAAAGAAAGAAGGAGAGAAGGAAGGAGAGAAGGAAAGAAAAAAGGAAAGAGGGAGCAAAGGAAGGAGGGAAAGAAGGCGAGAAAGAGGGAGGGAAGGAAAGAGAGAAGGAAGGAAGGAAAGAGAGGAGGAAGCCTGGAAGCAAAGGGAGGGAGGAAAGAGGTAGAGAAGGAAGAAAGGAGAAAAAGAGGAAGGGAAAGAAAAGGGGTAAGGAAAGAAAGAAGTAGAGAAGGAAGGAGAGAAGGAAAGAAAAAAGGAAAGAGGGAGCAAAGGAAGGAGGGAAAGAAGGCGAGAAAAAGAGAGGGAAGGAAAGAGAGAAGGAAGCCTGGAAGCAAAGGGAGGGAGGAAAGAGGTAGAGAAGGAAGAAAGGAGAAAAAGAGGAAGGGAAAGAAAAGGGGTAAGGAAAGAAAGAAGTAGAGAAGGAAGGAGAGAAGGAAAGAAAAAAGGAAAGAGGGAGCAAAGGAAGGAGGGAAAGAAGGCGAGAAAAAGAGAGGGAAGGAAAGAGAGAAGGAAGCCTGGAAGCAAAAATCGGAGAAAGGAAGGAAAGAGGTAGAGAAGGAAGAAAGGAGAGAAAGAGGAAGGAAAAGAAAATGGGAGAAGGAAAGAAAAAGGTAGAGAAGAAAGGAAGGAGAGAAAGAAAGAAAAAAAGGAAAGGAAGGAAAGAGGGAGCGAAGGAAGCAGGGAAAGAAGGAGAGAAAGAGGGAGGGAAGGTTGGCCACAACAACGCGTGGCGGGTACAGTTATTAATAATACAATAGTAATAATAGTTGTATTATTAAGTGTATTTTTATTTATGATAATAATTTTATTAATCATAGGAACTTTTATTTTTCTTGCAACAATAATTTTAGGAATAATTATATAATTTCATAATATTTATTACGATAAATATATACATATATCATTTTAGTAATAATTTCTAATAACAGCAATACGAATGCCGCCCTCGTTTTTAGTGTCCATCCGCATGCAATGGCACTGCAAGCTGCCCTTTTGACCCCCGGGCAGTGGCCCCTTTGCCTACCAAATTCACTGGGTGGACCATGCAAATGTGACCGGCTCAAGCCTGACCGGCGGCATTTGGGCAACAACCACAGCGGCCATTTTTCACGCAGAGGAGCAGATCGTGAATTTCCCCGTGTGCCGTACGGATGGGCGTTGACAAGGAAGAGAGGGCGATGAGCAGCCCCACGAAGGGCTCCATCCATCTTTCGGTGTTTTGACGTGAGGAGGCACATTAAGCAAAGTCCTTACTCGGCCGTGACCGGAGCCGTGCGCACCCAAAGTGGACTAAACGCGGCCCTCCCTGCCTCGCACTTGGGTGTGGTTTCCCTTCCTCCATTTTCCTTTGAAGGCCACAAAACCTCCCTCAGAAGAAGCACCTTTGGGAGAAGATCCCACCTGAGCACCAGGAAGACCCTCCTGGCCATAAAAGCTACTCAACAGGGGAACTCTCTGCGTCGGAGTCTTTTAAGCAGAGGCTGGATGGACATCTGTTGGGAGGGTTTCTGTTGTGCTTTTCCTGCCTGGCAGAAAGGAGTCAGGACACTTGGGGCCTCTTCCAACCCTTGGAATCTAGGATAGAAATATCATAAAGTATAGTGTGTCTACCTATCATATATAATGGCTGGATGGCCATCTTTCAGGAGGGCTTGGGTGGTGTCTTCAAGGTAGAAGGGGGTTGGACTGGATGGCCTTTGGGGTCTCCCTTCCAATGTTATGATTTGTATATATTGTTGTTGTTCATTTGTTCAGTCGTCTCCGACTCTTCGTGACCTCATGGACCAGCCCACGCCAGAGCTCCCTGTCGGCCGTCACCACCCCCAGCTCCTTCAAGGTCAGTCCAGTCACTTCTTGTATATATTAGAACATGGTATATGTACGGCTGGATGGCCATCTGTCAGGAGGGATTGGGTGTTGTCTTCAAGGCTGGCCTGGATGTCCTTTGGGGGCCTCTTCCAACCCTAGGATTCGATGAGGCAGAAGTGATATTGAGCCGCTTTGGGGGGATCTCCCCGGCCGAGGAGGTCCCGAGGAGCGCACCAAAGAGGGTCCCTGAACCTTGGCGAGGGCAGCGAAGCCGATTCCAGCAGCTGAAAATATTAAAAATAATAAATCCCCACCAAAGCGGAAGAAGATGGCGACCAAGGTACTTTAATTAGCGATTCAGCTGAGATTGGATGCATTGTGGGAATAGTTCCACCACAAGCATACCGATGCAAGGTTTGCAGGCATTTTTATAGCAAATGTACAGAAAAATAATTTGAATTTCCCGCCCGCCCCTCTCCGCCCGGCTTCACGCTGATTGGTTGACAGCCTGAACAGCTGGGAGGAGGCTTGGCGGCTCGCCTTGCTCTGGGCCAATCAGCAAGCTTCTTCACCTCCGAGGAGCCAATCAGCGCTCTCCTCTCGCTTCCAAGGGTCGACGAATCAGAAGAGAGAAGGCGGGACGTCCCGACCGTGGACAATGGGGGAAATGATGGCATTATCGCTAGCCGGCCAGCGGGGATTTGAGGCTTTGTTTTGGCCGGCATGATGCGATTGTTCTTATGAAAGGTTTTCCTATCCTTGGTGGGTTTTGGTGGAGAGAGCAAACAGGGTCGGGACAGGGGCCCGGGGGTCGTTCCTGTCCTTTGTAAATCAATCCGAGTGTCCAAATAGACTTCCTCGCCCGCCAGACGAACTCAGAGAGCGGGAAAGGAAATCTCAACTTGTTTTGTCCATGCATATGTGAAACAATCAAGTAAGTTTCGAGGGAGGCGGGGGGTCCTCCCTCGGGCATTCCAACAGTCCTGGGTCACTTTTTTTAGGGCAAAAGTCAAGGGGAAAGGCGGGAAAACAAGCGATGCTTCATGCATTACCATTAATACAAAATTCATATAGAAAAACCCCATTCCCACCCCACTTCATAAATATTTAATAAAAGAATTGAGTTTTTTATTTGAAAACTTGAAGTCCCATGGTTCTGGGGAAAGTTCGTGGAAACGGAGGCGGTTTGCAGTGAAAAAGCAATCAGCAGAAAGCCATTCTTCCCTGGTTAAAGCTAGCAGATAGGCGCTGGGTTGATAGGTAGCAAAATCCTAGCTTGGTCCTTGGGAAACTATAACTCCCTCCCAAGGACTGGGCCTCCTGCCCGGCCCTCTCTCCGAGATCTCCTGGGGGCAGCCGCAGCAAGTCCCCGGTTGTGGGGCTAGGCAGGAATGAGTGGCAACAAAGAGAAATTGACTTCTTGCGTGAAGCCGGCGAAGATTTGACAATCGGCTGTTTTCTGTCAAATTATATTCTTTTGAATAAAAAGATTATTTCCCGGGCGTAGGGATCCAAAATGAGGAAAGCAAGATAGCAGTTTAGTTAAGAATTGAGTAAAGAAAAATATGGCATTAAAACGGGGCCGATCCGCCTTTTTGAGATTTTAGCGGATACAGGGGCCCAATAGGAAGGCCTCCGTATCCGCGGTTCCAATTGATGCAGATTCGGCCTCTCTGGGACGCCCAGAAGGCATTTATTTCATGCTTGGGTTAGCTTAGGCAGCGAAGGACACAAAGTACCAAGCGGAAAAGTTAAAAGTTGCAATTTTCAAGTATCTTTATTAGGGATTTGTTACAAAGTAAGGAGAGGGGGAAAGTAAGAGAAGGCTGAGTGCAGTCTTAGTTGGAGCTGCCTGTTGGGTCACATTTCATCAGTTCTTCCAATTTCTGGCTTCCAGGAACTGCGGAACTCCCCGCTGCAGTGCAGACCAGTTACTGGGTGGGGGTCCTCGATGTCAGAAGGAGGTGGACTGGATGTCCTTTGAGGACCTCTTCCAACCCTAGCATGCCCTGACATTGTGGAAGTCAGGCCTGGAGGCGCCTCACTCTCCTCGTGGCCCCGGTGGGGTGGGCTCGTGGTCCGCGGCCGCGGTGGTGTAGGCCTGGATGCAGGTGCGGAAGTGGGCGAGGGTGTTGCGCTGCGGCCGGCAGAGGATGACGTAGCAGCGGGGCAGGAAGAAGGCACAGAGCACGGCGTAGACGCTGGTCTGGACGGTGAACATCTGCAGGGCGGCCGTGCGCGGGCCCCCGGCGGTGGCGTACGTGAGCAGGAAGGAGCCCCAGCCCATGAGGAAGACCAGCATGCTGGCGGTCAGTAGCCGGGCCTCGGAGTAGTTCTCGGGCAGGTGTCGGCCCCAGAAGGCCAGCAGGAAGCAGGCGCCCGCCAGGAGGGTGATGTAGCCCAGCACCGCCCCCAGCCCCAAGAAGGGCCCCTCCCAGCAGCGCAGGGACACCTCCCGGGGCCCCAGGGCCGTCTGGACCAGGGCCGGCGGAGAGAGGCTGAGCCAGAGGCCGCAGAGGAGGGCTTGCACCCCGCAGCTCAGCCCCACGGCCAAGTAGGGGCCCCGGAAGCGCCGCCAGCACTGCCGCGCCCGGTGCAGCCGCCCCGCCGCCTTGAAGATGAGCACCACTTGCAGGGAGCGCACCAGCAGGCAGGAGACGCAGGCCGTGAAGCAGAGCGCGAAGATGGGCTGCCGGACGAGGCAGGCCTGGGCGGAGGGGCGCCCCACAAAGAGGAGGGTGGTGGCGCAGGAGCCCAGTAGAGCGGCCAGCATCACGAAGGCCAGCCCCCCGCCCGCGGCCCGCACCACAGGCGTGTGGCGGTGCGTGGCGAAGACGACGAGGCAGCCCAGCAGCAGCAGGAAGCCCAGCAAGGCCACGGCCAGCAAGGCCACCACGTTGCCGTCGCTCAGCCGGAGGAAGGAAACCGAGGGAGGGAAGCAGCGGGTGCTGCGCGAAGGAGACCACGTCCCGTTGGGGCAGGGCAGGCAGTCTGCGGAGTCTGCGGAGGAGGATCACGGAATTGGAAGGAACCCCGAAGGTCATCCGCCCAGAGCCCTCCCGACAGATGGCCGTCCCGCCTCTTACTTGTCTGGTTCTGGAAGGTGCCCTCCACGCAGTCCTCGCAGCGGCACGGGCATTCGTCCAGCATTCGCTTGCTCCGACTTTGGCCGGTGGGACACTCCCTGGTGCAGGAGGAGATTGGGATCTGTGCAGAGGAGAGCGGAGAGGTCAACGGGCATCAAGGGGAACCACGAGAGGTCACACAAGAATCAAAAAAGGGATTGGGCCCCCAACTGGCAAACACCAAGGTGGAATGAGGAGGTGCGGCTCCCGCCTCACCTGGCCCTCGGGACCCGGCCATTGGATTCGGGTCCGGTTGATATCCAGGCTCCGAGCCGTGTAGCTGCCAATCTTGACGTAGTCCACGCCGTTGTCCTTCCAGGACCAGGTTATGACGTCATAGCCCAGGAAAAGGTCCTGCTGGGGGCTGAACCTGATGGTGTTGTTCAGGAGCGGAAAGTCCACCTCCCGCAGGGTCTCCAGCAGCTGGAAGGAAGGACAGAGAAGAGAGGGATGGCCCTTGCGCAAAATGAAGGAGAGAAGGGACGGAGGGAGGGAGGAACAACAGGAAGGACAGAAGGTAGGGAGGACAGAAGAGAGGGAGGGACGGAAGAAGAGACGGAGGAAGGGAGGAAAGATGGAAGGAAGGAAGGACGGACAGGAGGGAGGAAGGCAAGAAGACAAGAAGGAAGGAACGATGGAAGGAAGGACAGAAAGGTAGGAAAGGAGGCAAAGAGGGAGGGAGGCAGGAAGGGAGGAAAGATGGAAGGAAGAAGGGGAAGCTCAGCAGCTACACAGAGGAAGGACAGAGAAGCGAGGGACCCTTGCGCTTTTGGAAGGAGAGAGGAGGGAGGGAGGGAGAACAGGAAGGTAAGGCGGAAGGTAGGGAGGACAGAAGAGAGGGAGGGAGGAAAAGAGGGAGGAAGGGAGGAAGGGAGGAAAGGAGGGAGGAAGGACGGACGGACAGGAGGGAGGAAGGCAAGAAGACAAGAAGGGAGGAAAGATGGAAGGAAGGACAGAAAGGTAGGAAAGGAGGCAAAGAGGGAGGGAGGCAGGAAGGGAGGAAAGATGGAAGGAAGAAGGGGAAGCTCAGCAGCTACACAGAGGAAGGACAGAGAAGCGAGGGACCCTTGCGCTTTTGGAAGGAGAGAGGAGGGAGGGAGGGAGAACAGGAAGGTAAGGCGGAAGGTAGGGAGGACAGAAGAGAGGGAGGGAGGAAAAGAGGGAGGAAGGGAGGAAAGGGGAGGAATGACGGACGGACAGGAGGGAGGGAGGCAAGAAGACAAGAAGGGAGGAAAGATGGAAGGAAGGACAGAAAGGAGGAAAGGAAGGGAGGGAGGAAAGGAGGCAAGGAAAGAGGCAGGAAGGGAGGAAAGATGGAAGGAAGAAGGGGAAGGAGGGAGGGAGGAAAAATGGACGGAAAGTAGGGAGCAGGAAAGATGGAAGGAAGAATGGGAAGATCAGCAGCTACACAGATGGAAGGACAGAAAGGAGGGAGAAAGGGAAGATGGAAGAAAGGAAGGAAAGGAGGGAGGGAGGCAGGAAAGGAGGGAAGATGGAAGGAAGGATGGAAAAGGGAGGAAGGCAGGGAGGGAGGATGGTAGGAAGGAAGGAAAGACGGAAGGGAGGACGGACGGACAGGAGGGAGGAAGGCAAGAAGACAAGAAGGGAGGAACGATGGAAGGAAGGACAGAAAGGGAGGAAAGGAGGCAAGAAGGGAGGAAGAGAGGCAGGAAGGGAGGAAAGATGGAAGGAAGAAGGGGAAGGAGGGAGGGAGGAAAGGTGGAAGGAAGAAGGGGAAGATCAGCAGCTACACAGATGGAAGGACAGAAAGGAGGGAGAAAGGGAAGATGGAAGAAAGGAAGGAAAGGAGGGAGGGAGGCAGGAAAGGAGGGAAGATGGAAGGAAGGATGGAAAAGGGAGGAAGGCAGGGAGGGAGGATGGTAGGAAGGAAGGAAAGACGGAAGGGAGGACGGACGGACAGGAGGGAGGAAGGCAAGAAGACAAGAAGGGAGGAACGATGGAAGGAAGGACAGAAAGGTAGGAAAGGAGGCAAAGAGGGAGGGAGGCAGGAAGGGAGGAAAGATGGAAGGAAGAAGGGGAAGCTCAGCAGCTACACAGAGGAAGGACAGAGAAGCGAGGGGGAAGGAAGAAGGGCAAGGAGGGAAAGATGGAAGGAAGGACGGAAAAGAGGGAAAAATGGAAGAATGGGAAGATCAGCAGCTACACAGATGGAAGGACAGAAAGGAGGGAGAAAGGGAAGATGGAAGAAAGGAAGGAAAGGAGGGAGGGAGGCAGGAAAGGAGGGAAGATGGAAGGAAGGATGGAAAAGGGAGGAAGGCAGGGAGGGAGGATGGTAGGAAGGAAGGAAAGACGGAAGGGAGGACGGACGGACAGGAGGGAGGAAGGCAAGAAGACAAGAAGGGAGGAACGATGGAAGGAAGGACAGAAAGGGAGGAAAGGAGGCAAGAAGGGAGGAAGAGAGGCAGGAAGGGAGGAAAGATGGAAGGAAGAAGGGGAAGGAGGGAGGGAGGAAAGGTGGAAGGAAGAAGGGGAAGATCAGCAGCTACACAGATGGAAGGACAGAAAGGAGGGAGAAAGGGAAGATGGAAGAAAGGAAGGAAAGGAGGGAGGGAGGCAGGAAAGGAGGGAAGATGGAAGGAAGGATGGAAAAGGGAGGAAGGCAGGGAGGGAGGATGGTAGGAAGGAAGGAAAGACGGAAGGGAGGACGGACGGACAGGAGGGAGGAAGGCAAGAAGACAAGAAGGGAGGAACGATGGAAGGAAGGACAGAAAGGGAGGAAAGGAGGCAAGAAGGGAGGAAGAGAGGCAGGAAGGGAGGAAAGATGGAAGGAAGAAGGGGAAGGAGGGAGGGAGGAAAGGTGGAAGGAAGAAGGGGAAGATCAGCAGCTACACAGATGGAAGGACAGAAAGGAGGGAGAAAGGGAAGATGGAAGAAAGGAAGGAAAGGAGGGAGGGAGGCAGGAAAGGAGGGAAGATGGAAGGAAGGATGGAAAAGGGAGGAAGGCAGGGAGGGAGGATGGTAGGAAGGAAGGAAAGACGGAAGGGAGGACGGACGGACAGGAGGGAGGAAGGCAAGAAGACAAGAAGGGAGGAACGATGGAAGGAAGGACAGAAAGGGAGGAAAGGAGGCAAGAAGGGAGGAAGAGAGGCAGGAAGGGAGGAAAGATGGAAGGAAGAAGGGGAAGGAGGGAGGGAGTAAAGATGGAAGGAAGAAGGGGAAGATCAGCAGCTACACAGATGGAAGGACAGAAAGGGAGAAAGGGAAGATGGAAGAAAGGAAGGAAAGGAGGGAGGAAGGCAGGAAAGGAGGGAAGATGGAAGGAAGGATGGAAAGGAGGGAGGGAGGCAGGAAAGGAGGGAAGATGGAAAGGAGGGAGGGAGGGAGGAAGAAAGGAAGGAAAGGAGGGAGGGAGGCAGGAAAGGAGGGAAGAAATGGAAGGCTGAAAGGGAGAAAGGAAAGAAGGGAGAATTGTAGGAAAGGAGGTCAGGAAGGAAAGAAGAAGGAAGGATGGGAGGAGAGAGAGAGAGAGCAGTCTGGGGCGGCATCCGTCGTCTGCCATGGAAAGTGCTCCGCGTCCTGGCTGAGGGATGGGGATTTGTCCCCTTGTAGGAAGAAGGGCGGGGCGGGGGCCTCCTTGGGTGACCAGACCCAACCACTGCCCACCCGTCTCCTCCTTCCTTCCGGGGTCCCATGAAGGTCACTCACCTGCCAAGGCCGGGGCTCCTGACCGGCAGGACAGTCTTCCCGGCTGCACCCGAGGCGGAGGTGGAGGGCATGGGCCAAGGCATAGGCGGCGGTGTAGGAGTAGAAGGCCCAGTCCCAGAGGGAGGAGCCCAGGAGGCTGGCCAAGGAGTCCGGGGAGGGCGGCGGGCAGGAAGGGGGGCAGGAAGCGGGGCAGGAGGAGCCCTTTGGGGGGCCGTCACGGAGCGCCTCCTCCACAAAGCGCTTGACGTGGGGCAGCCGTATGGGCCTGATGGTCAGCCCCAGGAACGTGCCCGCCCGCTCCATGCCCTGCAGCGCGGCCACCGCGTCCGACAAGACCCAGCTCTCGGTGGCCACCCAGACCTTGCCGGTGATCTGCAGAGCAATGACCACCTGAAAGAACTGCCGGGCAACGGCGGCGCTGCCCAGGATGACGGTGACATTGGTTCCCGCCCTCTTGATGTTCTCCACCACCTTCTCTAACTGGTCGAAGGTGGCGACCGGCCCACCGGGCATGAGCCCCTGGTAGGAGACGCAGATGCCCTGCGCGGCGGCCCTGTCAATCAGGATCCGGACTGACTCCTGGGTGGCCTTGGTGCCGCTGCCCACTGCCGAGACCCACTCCCAGCGGAAGGCCCGGATCAGCGCAACGATGCCGTCCAGCTGGTGGGCTGTGCTGGGCACCGTCCGGAAGAGCAGCGGCGGCCGGCCGCGGTTGTCAAAGTTCTCGTCCTTGATGCTGTAGCTGACCTGGAGGAAGAAGAGGCGTGCCCTCAATAGTCCTAAACTTACTTGTAACCGTAGTTTCCCTAGTGGTCATCTGTGAATTCGCACAGCCCCGCCCATCCTCCCCACAGTTTGTCATGCCTCCTCCTTCTAGCAGCTTAGGCGGCGGAAGAGAACTGAGGCGGTTAGCCGACCCACGGGCTATATATGCTCTCGAGGGGAGCGTGGGCGTGGCCAACCGCCATTCCGCACACTTTTTAAGCCCCTGAGGTCCCCTGAGATTGTTGGGAACCATCGTTTTTGAAAATCCCAAGAGCAAATTCCTGGACACGCTGGACCTGTCTTATTCAAAATGAAGAACCAGTACTGCAGTGGGCATTGCGGGCCTGCTTTCGGCTTCATTAGGATTGTTGTTGTTGGGTGCCTTTTAAATCATTGTAGAGTCAGTCTAAAGTTTAGGGCGGGGGGGGCGTGTAAAGGAGCTTGGAGGGTCATATCTGGCCCGTGGGACAGAGTTTGGGGACCGAAACAGAGTGTCAGACCACCCCATTCAAACCCTGACCCACCCGTCATGTGTGTGCCCCGTGTTCCTGTGGGATGATGTCAGAGGACAGCGTCCAAGCCGAGACGGGACATCTGGGAAGCGCCTTACCTGCGGGAGGCCGTAGAGGCCGAGGATGTGGGAGGCCAGCGGGGCCAGGGCGGACTCGTAGGGGCCCACCACGCCGACCACCTTCCGGGCCCAGTCCACCGTGCAGGGAGGGCGTCCCCGTTGGCCGGGCGCCAGCCGGAAGAGCCCCCGGAGGAAGGGGACATCCTTGGGGTTGTCCCAGATGTGGTAGCCCAAGGAGACATTGGGCAGCAGGCGGGAGGAGCGGTTGATTTCCTCCACGGCCAGGCGCATGGCTTGCGACTGCGTGAAGCCCCAGGGGTCCAAGCTGCGGCGGAAGGGAGAAGGCGTCAGGGCCGAGGCGGGCTTTGCGTGTTTGGGGCACAACCAGGCAGGGGCGTTCCTCAGTTAATCGGGCAGTGTCAGGAGTCAATTTCTGACAGCATGAAGACATCACAAATTCCCTCCGTGACCTCCTGACTGAATCCTCTTGGCTGCCTCAGTTTTCTCTCTGTGACATTTTGTAGTGAGCAGAGGGCGCTGGAAACCTTGTGTTGGAACTTGTGAAGCAACAAGCTCTAATAAGGAAACTGAGAAGAGGGGGAGGTGGGCAGGAAAGGTGTCTAAAAGGAAGTGGTGGTGGGGAAAAGTCAGTAGTGTCTTTCTTTGCTGCAGAGATACAAGCAATATATTCATTTCCAAGCAAAACCGGCTTGTGAGTGATCATTTAATATTGCTATATAAAGCCTACAGTCTTACACAGAGAAAGGCAAGTCGGGCTTCAGCACAGCAGGTTAACTGCCAGCTGCAATAAATCTTGCCAATCAAAAGGTCGGCAGTTCGAAACCTGGGTCAGGGGTGAGCGGCAGCAGACCTTCAGCCCAGCGCACTGACCACCTAGCAGATCGAAAACAGCTGTGAGTAGATAAATAGGTACCGCTTAAGCGAGGAGGTATTTTAATGGTACCGTAAGGAAGATACCAGAAAAATGCCAGCAGTTTGATCAAGGAGGAAGTTTGTGAGCAGGGCTTTTGGGCTTGGAGGATGGAAGGAGTCTTGGCGTGCAGGAGGGAACGCCTCGAGTCGCCGGAAGGCTGAGAGGGGTGGTGTACAGATATAGTAAATAAATAAATAAAAAATAACGACATCACACACACACACACACCTTGTGCCTGGAATCGAGCTTGCTTAGACGAGCCCTCGTTGTCCAAGTTCGGTGTCTTGGTGGTAGGTATGTAGGTGACCGTGGAGCCCTAGTCTTGACCTACATGTCCCCACACAGTGAGGGCATCGGTTTCCAGGTGAAAAGCGGTCCCGGTCGGGGTTGGCTTGACGCGCCTTCCTCCTGACTCATTTCTCACTTTCGCCCCCCATTCATTTCTTTCTTTCGTCCGTCCCCCATCCCCCCCCTTCGTGCCTCTTCAAATTCTACAGCACTGCTGGACACAGCTGACCTCCAGCTAGAGCGCTCAAAGGCCAGAGCTTCCCCGTTCTCTGTGTCTATTATTTATTTACGACATTTATATACCACCCTTCCCACCAGGCCCGTAGCCAGGATTTTGTTTCGGGGGGGGGGGGGGGGGCTGAGTCTGAGTGAGAGAGGGTCTACCCTAGCAAACCTTTTGTATCGTTACCCCAATAATACCCCCTCCATGCATATGGGATATATTGAGCATGGTGATCAGATCATGATATGAATAAACATAACAGTTTAAATAATGTACCAGTAAGGCCTTCTCGCGGACCACCCTGAGAATTTGGGGGGGGGGGGCTGAAGCCCCTCAAGCCCCCCCCCCCCCCCCCCGGCTACATGCCTGCTTCTCACCCTGAGCGGCTTACAAGATATTTACATCTTCGGCATGGAGGACGGAGCGACATCACGCTCCCCTTTGTGGCTGGAATCGAGCACAACCTCCTGGACACCGAAGTTGGGAAAAGCCGACCCTGTTTCTCCAAAAATAAGGCCTACCCTGAAAATAAGCTCCAGCATGATTTTTCAGGATTTCAAAATCCTAATTCAAAAAGAAGCTTTGTTACAATTAAATAAAATATATCAGTTTGGGGAAGAAGAAGACATCCCCTGAAAATAAGCCCTAACACGTTAATCCAAGACCGCGTCTTATTTTCAGGGGAACAGGGTGTATCCCTCTCTATCTGGACTGTTGTCTGTCTTGTCTGAGTCTAACGACATTGAATGCTTGCCGCACATGTATGTTCTGTGACCTTCGGGGTGAGAAGGGCGGAATACACATACTGTAAACAAACAAATAAGTCGTCGCCTCCTCGCAGGTGTGTCCTGTCCCCAAAGTGTGGCATAAAGGATCAGACGAATGTCGCGCTCCGGAGAAAAGCGGTGGGGGGCGCGCCCCCTGACTCACCTGGCGCAGGTGCTGTTGCGGTGGATGGGGAAGAAGCCCGCCAGGAGGAAGTCCCCCGGGAGGTGGGAGGGCAGCTTGCAGGAGGAGCCCTGCGGGGTGGCCCCACGGCCCCCGAGGAGGAGGGCAGCCAGGGGAAGCCAGGTCAGCAGCATCGCCACCTCTGAGGACACGCAGCAGCCCGGCTTTGGCTCACGGTGGGCTCCGGACTCCCGCGACGGACTCCCCAAGGGTTGCTTTGCCTAATGGCCCTCGGATTTGGCCCTGCCCACCGTGACACTCCTGTGGGACCGTGACGGAGGCTCCCATTGGCCTTTCCTTCTGTTGGGAGGCTTCTCCCGTCCTCGGCCTTTGAGAAATGGCTCTGGCCCATTTGGGAGTCAAAGCATGGGAAGCCGACCGGAACGCCGCCACCACCGCCATGCCGCCTGCCTTTCCAGCGTTGAGGAAAGAGCTTTCGAGGCATCGCAGCAGGCATTTCCGTGAAAGCTGCAACCTTCAAACACCTGGATCTGGCCCTGAGGTTGCCGTGTTTGCGTGTGTCCTTGCATGTTTGTCTCCGATCCATGGAGCTGCGGGGAGACTTTGGAGACCAAAAGGGGGGACCCCATCCCGGCACCCCCTTTGCACAACCTCCTGGCAGATGAGAGGACTTGGCGAAGGCTTTCATGGCTGGAATCATTCGGTTGCTGTAGGTTTTTCAGACTATATGGCCATGTTCTAGAAGCATTCTCTCCTGACGTTTCGCCTGCATCTATGGCAAGCATCCTCAGAGGTTGTGAGGTCACAACAACCCACAACCTACAACAACCCAGACTAGAGGACTTGGTGGCATTTATGGCCAATGTGTTCTAAGCACCATGTTCTCCTGACATTTCACCTGCATCTTGCTTGACTACTACCATCAGAGCGGCAGAAGGTGCTGTGGGGCGGGTGGGCTTGTTAACAAAGACCCTCCCCATAAATGGACAGCAGAGGAACTTAGGAGCAGCCGTGTGACTCAGGAGCCCAAAGGGATAAAAAGAACGCAAACACACACAGACGAAGGTCATCTCTTCCTTTGGAGGCTTCTCTTTGTAGTAAAATACTATGGTTGCGCTGCTTAAGAATAAGGCTTCCATCACACAAATATAAACAAAGATTCCAGGGAGCGGTGTGAGCTTCCGCTGTCAGCCCTAGCTTCTGCCAACCTAGCAGTTCGAAAACATGCAAATGTGAGTAGATCAATAGGTACCACTCCGGTGGGAAGGTAATAGCGCTCCATGCAGTCATGCCAATGGCCACATGACCTTGGAGGTCTCTACGGACAACGCTGGCTCTTCGGCCTAGAAATGGAGATGAGCACCAGAGTCCCAGAGTCAGGCATGGCTGGACTTAATGCCAGGGGACTACCTTTACCTTTACCTTTACCTTTCACAAATAAACAAATACACAGGAGCTTTACACACAACAGTCTTCACACTGGAGCTTCTCTCACACTGAGGTTTACCTCACTCTCCTCAAGACAACCCTAGCTTTGGCCCACTACTCTCACAGCCTTCGGCCTCCTTGCCCCCCTCAGGGTCACACTAGCATTGACCCACTGACTCTTGACAGGCTTTGGCCACCTCGCTCCCCCAGGACGGTGCTAGCTTTGGCCCACTGACTCTAATGGGTTTCGGCCTACTCACTTCCCTCAGGACTACGCTAGCTTTGTCCCATTGACTCTAACAGGCTTTGGCCTACTCATTCTCCACAGGACAAAACTAGCTTTGGCCCAATGACTCTAACGGGCTTCGGCCTATTCACTCTCCTCAGGGCGCTAGCTTTGGCCCACTAACAGGCTTCGGCCTACTTGCTCTCCTCAGGACGCTAGCTTTGGCCCACTAACAGGCTTCGGCCTACTTGCTCTCCTCGGGACGCTAGCTTTGGCCCACTGACTCTAACGGGCTTCGGCCTACTCATTATCCACAGGACAAAACTAGCTTTGGCCCACTGACTCTAACGGGCTTCGGCCTATTCACTCTCCTCAGGGCGCTAGCTTTGGCCCACTAACAGGCTTCGGCCTACTTGCTCTCCTCAGGGCGCTAGCTTTGGCCCACTAACAGGCTTCGGCCTACTTGCTCTCCTCAGGACGCTAGCTTTGGCCCACTGACTCTAACGGGCTTCGGCCTACTCATTATCCACAGGACAAAACTAGCTTTGGCCCACTGACTCTAACGGGCTTCGGCCTATTCACTCTCCTCAGGGCGCTAGCTTTGGCCCACTAACAGGCTTCGGCCTACTTGCTCTCCTCAGGACGCTAGCTTTGGCCCACTGACTCTAAAGGGCTTCGGCCTCCTTGCTCCCCTCAGGACAGCGCTAGCTTTGGCCCACTGACTCTAACAGGCTTTGGCCTACTCACTCTCCACAGGACAAAACTAGCTTTGGCCCACTGACTCTAACAGGCTTTGGCCTACTCACTCTCCACAGGACAAAACTAGCTTTGGCCCAACTGACTCTAACGGGCTTCGGCCTATTCACTCTCCTCAGGGCGCTAGCTTTGGCCCACTAACAGGCTTCGGCCTCCTTGCTCCCCTCAGGACAGCGCTAGCTTTGGCCCACTGACTCTAATGGGTTTCGGCCTACTCACTTCCCTCAGGACTACGCTAGCTTTGTCCCATTGACTCTAACAGGCTTTGGCCTACTCATTCTCCACAGGACAAAACTAGCTTTGGCCCAATGACTCTAACGGGCTTCGGCCTATTCACTCTCCTCAGGGCGCTAGCTTTGGCCCACTAACAGGCTTCGGCCTCCTTGCTCCCCTCAGGACAGCGCTAGCTTTGGCCCACTGACTCTAATGGGTTTCGGCCTACTCACTTCCCTCAGGACTACGCTAGCTTTGTCCCATTGACTCTAACAGGCTTTGGCCTACTCATTCTCCACAGGACAAAACTAGCTTTGGCCCAATGACTCTAACGGGCTTCGGCCTATTCACTCTCCTCAGGGCGCTAGCTTTGGCCCACTAACAGGCTTCGGCCTCCTTGCTCCCCTCAGGACAGCGCTAGCTTTGGCCCACTGACTCTAATGGGTTTCGGCCTACTCACTTCCCTCAGGACTACGCTAGCTTTGTCCCATTGACTCTAACAGGCTTTGGCCTACTCATTCTCCACAGGACAAAACTAGCTTTGGCCCAATGACTCTAACGGGCTTCGGCCTATTCACTCTCCTCAGGGCGCTAGCTTTGGCCCACTAACTCTAAAAGGCTTCGGCCTCCTTGCTCCCCTCAGGACAGCGCTAGCTTTGGCCCACTGACTCTAACAGGCTTTGGCCTACTCACTCTCCACAGGACAAAACTAGCTTTGGCCCAATGACTCTAACGGGCTTCGGCCTATTCACTCTCCTCAGGGCGCTAGCTTTGGCCCACTAACAGGCTTCGGCCTACTTGCTCTCCTCAGGACGCTAGCTTTGGCCCACTGACTCTAAAGGGCTTCGGCCTCCTTGCTCCCCTCAGGACAGCGCTAGCTTTGGCCCACTGACTCTAACAGGCTTTGGCCTACTCACTCTCCACAGGACAAAACTAGCTTTGGCCCACTGACTCTAACAGGCTTTGGCCTACTCACTCTCCACAGGACAAAACTAGCTTTGGCCCAATGACTCTAACGGGCTTCGGCCTATTCACTCTCCTCAGGGCGCTAGCTTTGGCCCACTAACAGGCTTCGGCCTACTTGCTCCCCTCAGGACAGCGCTAGCTTTGGCCCACTGACTCTAACGGGCTTCGGCCTATTCACTCTCCTCAGGGCGCTAGCTTTGGCCCACTAACAGGCTTCGGCCTCCTTGCTCCCCTCAGGACAGCGCTAGCTTTGGCCCACTGACTCTAATGGGTTTCGGCCTACTCACTTCCCTCAGGACTACGCTAGCTTTGTCCCATTGACTCTAACAGGCTTTGGCCTACTCATTCTCCACAGGACAAAACTAGCTTTGGCCCAATGACTCTAACGGGCTTCGGCCTATTCACTCTCCTCAGGGCGCTAGCTTTGGCCCACTAACAGGCTTCGGCCTACTTGCTCTCCTCAGGACAGCGCTAGCTTTGGCCCACTAACAGGCTTCGGCCTACTTGCTCTCCTCGGGACGCTAGCTTTGGCCCACTGACTCTAACGGGCTTCGGCCTACTCATTATCCACAGGACAAAACTAGCTTTGGCCCACTGACTCTAACGGGCTTCGGCCTACTCATTATCCACAGGACAAAACTAGCTTTGGCCCACTGACTCTAACGGGCTTCGGCCTATTCACTCTCCTCAGGGCGCTAGCTTTGGCCCACTAACAGGCTTCGGCCTACTTGCTCTCCTCAGGACGCTAGCTTTGGCCCACTGACTCTAAAGGGCTTCGGCCTCCTTGCTCCCCTCAGGACAGCGCTAGCTTTGGCCCACTGACTCTAACAGGCTTTGGCCTTCCCACTCCTTCAGTGCTTGACTCATGCTTTTGTAATCCAAAATACGTAGTTAATGTGTAGTATTTCTGACCGATGCCAGGCACAGAAGCAGGCTGAACGTCAGGAGGAAAATGCTACCAGCACCCACTGGCCATACAGGCCGGAAACCACGCAACGCCCCAGTGATTCCGGCCCTGAAAGCCTTCGACATTTAACTCTTTGGAGGAGGAGGAGGAGGTGCAACCGGCTGAGCGAGTGTGGGGCAGGCAGGCAGGCAGGCAGGCGGGCGCTGGAGGGAGAAGCAGGAGGGGCACCCCATAATTTCAGAGCCATGCCGGCCTCCCCGCACGGTGCACCTCACTGCCAAGGCCAGGCTCCCCTCCCTCCCTCCCTTCCTCCCAAGGCCTCTCTCTCTCTCTCTCTCTCTGCCCACACGCTGCCTTGACCGCAGCCACGTCCCGAGGCCGGACCGCCTCCCTCTGGCTCGGCCGTGGTGTGAGGCTTCGGAGGGAGACGCCTCCGGAGGCTTTGTGGCTTTCCCTGCCTGTCATTTGGGAGCGGGAGGCGGAAGCGGTGCGGAGGGAACCCGGCACGTGGGCGGAGGGGTGACGACGAAGAAGACGAAGAAGAGGGTGGTGATGCAAGGCCACAATTACGACACAGGATGGGCGGTGGCGGCGGCGGTGGTGCTGGAATTGGACGGCCGGTTCGTCCAGGTGGAAGGAAGGAAGGAAGGAAGGAAGGAAGGAAAGAAGGAGGAGAGCTCTGTGGACGGAGGCCTCCCAGGAACAGCCAAGTCCAGAGCCCTGCTTGGAAAGGAGCCCCGCTGGCCTCTGGCTGCAAGAAAAGGGGGGTCCGCGTGGCATCATCGTTCCAGCACGCAAGCCTCGTCCTGGCACAGGGAAGAGGCCCCACAAGACCACTGCCACCCCCAAGAAGGACTTGGCACACCCAACCCCCAGGACTCACTTGACTTGGATAGGGGGTGATGGGGTGTGCGGTACATTCACCCAATTCGGCTCCTACAGACCTGGACCAAACTTGGTACACAGACCCCCCCCCCCCCCCCCATATGACCCACTTTACATCCTGGTGCGGTTTGGGGGAGGACGGACAATGGATGATGGGAGCTGCAGTACCTTCACTCACTTCCTGAGACCACTACAACCCCCATCAATGACGGACCAAGACCAGACTTGGCACACAGAGCCCCCATGGCCCCCTCTACATCCTAGTGCGGTTTGGAAGACGATGGACCATGGATGATGGAACTTACAGTATCTTCACTCAGTTCCTGAACCCATTGTGACTCTCACCAATGACTGATCAAGACCAGACTTAGCTCACAGAGCCCCCATGGCCCATTCTACATCCTGGCATGGTTTGGTGGAGGATGGACCATGGATAATGGAACTTCCTGAGCCCACTGCAACTCTCACAAATGACGATCAAGACGAGATTTGGCACAGAGCCCCCATGACTCGCTCTATATCCTGGCACGGTTTGGAGGAGGATGGACCATGGATGATGGGACTTAAAGTACCTTCACTCACTTCTTGAGACCACTGCAACCCACACCAATCACGGATCAAGACCTAACTTTGCACACAGAGCCCCCATGACCCACTGTATATCCTGGTGCGGTTTGGGGAGGACGGACAATGGATGATGGGAGCTGCAGTACCTTCACTCACTTCCTGAGACCAATACAACCTCCATCAATGACTGATCAAGACCAGACTTAGCTCACAGAGCCCCCATCGCCCATTCTATATCCTGGTGCGGTTTGGAAGAGGATGGACAATGGATGATGGGATGTGAAGTACCCTCACTCACTCCCTGAGATCATTGCAGGAACCAGGTCAGAAGGCCCGTAACCTCACTGACCGTAACCCGGTTTGGGGAGAGAGGGGAAGTGGCAAAGGAGACGCCAAGGGCCGTGCTCTACCATAAATAAGACCTTTATTGAATCCAAGATAATGGCAAGACACCACGATACCAAAGCGAACCTCTCGGGCCGCTTCTTGCTCAATACTGAATGCCGGGCGCGCCTCCCTCAGCGCGCTCATTCACAGACCTTCATGTAGTTTTGCCCCCGAAGCCCAGTCCCTCCCAGGACGTGTAATGGTGCCTGCATTGCGGCTCAAGGGGGGGGGGAGGGAGAAGGCGTTCAGGTGGGAGGGCAGGTATGGACGGCGCCAGGTGGGAGGGCACCCACCCCCTGTGCCCCCCTTTGGTCCCGTCCCTTCTGGGAAAGGGACACTGGTCCCTCTCTGCCGGCCCTTCAAGGCACGAGGAGGCACCGGTTCTCCGTTGCTTTGGGGGAGTTGGTGGGCAGGGAAGGGTGGCCATGCTCACAGAGGCCCCGAATGACATGACGTTTCTCTGTACAATTATAGATCTATTACATGCATGTGCAGAGGCATCTCTCTATATATTAATTATTCTCAGATGTAATTTACACACTGGAGCTTCACACACAAGGCTTCTCTCACACAGAGGTTTACCTCACTCTCCTCAGGACGACACTAGCGTTGGCCCACTGACTCTAACAGGCTTCGGCCTACTCACTCTCCTTAGGACGACATTAGCTTCGGCCCACTTATTCTAACAGGCTTTTGACCTACCCACTCTCCTCAGGACAAAACTAGCTTTGGCCCACTGAGTCTTGACAGGCTTCGGCCTACTCACTCTCCTTAGGACGACATTAGCTTTGGCCCACTGACTCTAACAGGCTTCGGCCTACTCACTCTCCTCAGGATGACATTAGCTTCGGCCTACTCACTCTCCTTAAGACGACATTAGCTTTGGCCCACTGACTTTAACAGGCTTCGGCCTGCTCACTCTCCTCAGGATGACACTAGCTGTAACCCACTGACTCTAACAGGCTTTTGACCTACCCACTCTGCTCAGGGCAACACTAGCTTTGGCCCACTGACTCTTGACAGGCTTCGGCCTACTCACTCTCCTCAGGACGACACTAACCGTAACCCACTGACTCTAACAGGCTTCGGCCTACTCAGGACGACACCAGCTTTGGCCCACTGACTCTTAACAGGCTGTGGCCTACTCACTCTTCTTAGGGTGACACCAGCTTTGGCCCACTGACTGACAGGCTGCGGCCTACTCACTCTCAGGACGACACTAGCTTTGGCCCACTGACTGTAACAGGCTTTGGCCTACTCACTCTCCTCAGGACAACACACAGACTCTAACAGGCTTCGGCCTACTCACTCTCTCAGTGCTTGACTCACACTTTTGTAATAAAAATACCCAGTTAATTTTTAGCATTGCTGTCAATGTGTCTCTGTACAATTATAGATACATCACATGCACGCGCAGAGGCATCTCTCTATATATTAATTACTCTCAGACGTGGAATGACTGACGTATTTGCCGCTCTCCAGTCTGGCTCCGAAGCCCGATGCGGAGGCGCCTGTGCCCCCTCTTTGACGCAGACGCCCCGCTGCTTCCCCAAAGGCCCAGATGTGCGGGGAGGCCCTTGAACCCTCACCCGGCCGCCTCCCCGTGTCGTCCTCAGGGGGCAACCACGCAAGGAAAGTGCCTGCGCTTGGCGGGGTCCCCAAAGCCGGCTTCCGAGGGCCCCCCTCTTCCTGCGGCGATGGCCTCGGATTCCTCCGCAGCCCGGCCGTCTTGGAAGAAGCGTTCGTACCTGTCCAGGTAGGGGGGCCTCTCGGGCAGCAGGTAGTAGTGGGTGGAGCTGGCCTTGCGCCCGTTCTCCATGATGGGCAGGATGCAGGGCGCGCCCCCCCGCGGAGAGGCCCCCTCGCTCCGCTGCCGCTGCAGGAGGAGGGCCTTGCTGCTGACGTACTTGGGGTCCGGGGCAAAGCTCTGCGTGGGGGGCATGACCCCGTGCAGGTAGCAGGGAAGGCTCTTGGGGCTGGGGGTCCGCAGGGGGCGCGGCAGCGCCGAGGGGGGCGGCAACAGGGGCTCCCGGGGAGGCACCTTGGGGGGCCGGTCCTCGTCGCTGTAGGCCCCCGAGGCCACCTCGGCCGACCAGCGGCGCCGGTCCGGCTTCAGCACCCGGGCCGGGATGGGGACCCGCGGGGGCACCACCGGCCTGGAATCCCCCTCGTCATCGTCGGAAGCGGGGGAGGCCCGGCGGAAGGGGCCCGAGGCCCGGATGGCGACGGTCGGCTTGTGGAAGGAGCCGGCGGGGCCCGAGTGCGAGCGCCGTAGCCTCCGGTGCAGCGGGGGCGGAGGGGGCGCCGCCTTCGCTTCCTCCTCCTCCTCCTTCGCAGCCTCAAAATAGGCGTGGTTGACCTGCCCACAGTCCCGGAAGCCACGCCACTGCTGCCCCTGCGAGGTGGGCCGGAGGAGGGCCGGGGGGGCGCCCCCCAGGAGGCGCTGGGTGTCCGAACTCGTCAGGAACTCCACCTCTCGGTCGGCCTCCTCCTCCTCCTCCTCCGCGTTGTGGTCGTCCTCAGCCGGGGGGAGCGGGGGGAGCGGGCGGGCGCTCCGTTCAGCCCCGCCGGAAGCCGAGAGCCGCCCGAAGCCCAGGAGGAGGGCGGCAAGGGAGTCTTCAGGGCCCTCGCTCCGGGGCTCCAGGGCAGAAAGGGGCCACGCGGGAATGTCCTCCTCCCCGGGCGATCTTCCTCCACAAGGACGGGGGCCTAACAAGGAGGGAGGGACACGTTAAGAGCGGGCGGGCGAGCGGCACTTCCGACCCAACACTTGACCGGCTCCTCTCACCCCTAAAGCCAAGCCGCCCCCAAAATATCCCAGCCAGAAGCGGGGACACTCACCTCCGTTCTCCGTCAGGCCACACTCGACTGAGGGGCTCCCGGGATCCACTCCGAAGAAAGGGCTGCGGGCAAAGAGAGGGGCACTGGTCAAGGGGGGGACCTGTCCACTTTGGGGGCTCAATCACACAGCGGGGCATCCCAACCGCCACCTCCTGAAACCTGACCCTTTGTTTGTTTACTTATTTATTACTGTATTTATTTATTACAGTAGCAAAATTAGAGTTATAAAGGAGCAACGAAAATAATGTTATGGTTGGGGGTCCCCACAACACGAGGAACCGTATTTAGGGGTCCCGGTGTTAGAAAGGCTGAGAACTGCTGGGTTATATGGATCTGGTCCACATTTGGCACGTATCAAAGACTGGCTTTTTTCTAATCAATAATGTTACTAATTGACTAAATGATATTACCTAACACCCCAAAACAATGCCTTTTTCAAATAACCCGGACACCGCCAGGTGCCCAAGCTAGTAAGACATCAACCAAACCTACAACATACTAAGGAGAAGGGAACTCCGATTGGAAATTCCATAACTTATTGGCAATAAGTGCACCACAACCTTGTTGACAAAGTAAAAATAATGTCTCATCTGCTTGGCAAATGTGAATCTCCATTGACCAATGACCACGAGTTAATAAAATCACCACCTTGCTAGAAGTCAACTCTTTGAAGAAGTGACGTTCATAAGCGAAAATGTAATGGCACTCAGGGAGCTCAGCTGCTAAACTGGAGAACCACGTCTTCAAACTGCAAAGGATAAAGACTTGCCAAAATCTGCAAAAATCTATTGGGTGAGGAGAGGGCTTGTTCTCCAGATCCTTATTTATATGATATTATTAAATATCATATAAATAAAATCATATATATATATCATAAAAAGGAAAAGGTTTTCCCCTGGCATTGAGTCTAGTCGTGCCCGACTCTGGGGGGTGGTGCTCATCTCTATTTCTAAGCTGAAGAGCCGGCGTTGTCCGTAGACACTTCCAAGGTCATGTGACTGGCATGACTGCATGGAGTGCAATTACCTTCCTGCCGGAGTGGTACCTACTCACGTTTGCATGTTTTCGAACTGCTAGGTTGACAGAAGCTGGGGATAACAGTGGGGGCTGACCCCGCTTCCCGGATTTGAACCAACGACCTCTCAATCAGCAAGTTCAGCAGCTCAGTGGGGGCTCCATATATATATATAAATAGGGAGCTTCTCCTGCCCGGACCAACTGCTGCTCTGGTCCAGAGTGAAGGGTGAGGTGGCCAGGAAGACAGCTCCACCTTGTCTCCTGTGCTATGCTAATGTAATATAATATAATATATATAATGTAATATATTGTATATACATTTAACATTTATAATATTATGTAATACAATAGAATATTACTATTAATAATACAATATTATAATTATATATATTATATTACATGTAATATTACTAATAATTTTACAATATAACAATATAGTAAGATATAATACTAGCTGTACCTTCCACACATTACTGTGGCCAACCTTCCCTCCCTCTTTCTCTCCTTCCTTCCTTCTTTCCCTCTTCTTTCCCTCCTTTCTCCCTTCCTTCTCTACCTATCTTGGATTGCAACTCCCAGCAGTCCTCCGGATCGCTCTCTCTACCTTCCTACCTTTTGTTGTTGTTTATTCATTCAGTCACTTCCGACTCTTCGTGACCTCACGGACCAGCCCACGTGTCAGCCCCCTCCCTCCCTGTCTCTACTCAATCTCTCTATCTGGAGGATTGCTGGGAGTTGCAGTCCAGGAAAAGGAAATTGGAAATATGCAAGGATCGGGACACTCTCAAAGAAATCCAAAGAGAAGAGAGCTCCCATCTTGGAAGCAGTGCATTGGGATCCTCCTCTCCTAAAGGGCTTGGCCTAGGGGATGCTGGGAGCTGTAGTCCAGAAGGGAGTGTGGAGATGCTATTGTGTGTGTGTTTTGTTTGCTGGGGGTCATTTTGCACATGCGCTGTAGCGCCTTTCGGCTTTTTTTCAGTCCCTTCTGCTGTGTTTTTCAGTGTTTTTATGAGTGACAGTCACTCACTGGCCTGATACGTGTCTTGTCTCCAAATTTCGTGTCAATTTGTCCAGTGGTTTTTGAGTTATGTTAATCCCGCAAACGAACATTACATTTTTATTTCTATAGATTTTTTTTTGTGTCAGGAGTGACTTGAGAAACTGCAAGTCGCTTCTGGTGTGAGAGAATTGGCCGTCTGCAAGGACGTTGCCCGGATGTTTTGATGTTTTATCATCTATCTATATAAAAATCCTCTGTGCATCATGAGAACCCTAAAAACAAAAGAACCAATGAACGAAATCACACCCAATTTGGCAACAAAACGTCTCACAACACAAGGAGTGACCATCACTCAAAAAATGATGATTTTGTCATTGCTGGGAGTTGTAGTTGCTGGGATTTATAGTTCACCTACAATCAAAGAGCATACCAAACTCCACCAACAATGGAATTGAACCAAACTTGGCACACAATTGTGCCCTGACCAACACCAGAACTCACTAGAAAGGTTTGGTGGGCATTGACCTTGAGTTTGGGAGTTGTAGTTCACCTACATCTAGAGAGAACTGTGACAGATCCGGACCAAACTTGGCACAAATACTCCATATGCCCAAATATAAACACAGATGGCATTTGGGGAAAATAGACCCTGCCATTTGGGAGTTGTAGTTATTGGGATTTATAGTTCACCTACAATCAAGGAGCGTTCTGAACTCCATCAACAACAGAATTGGGCCAAACTTTCCACACAGAACCCTCATGACCAACAGAAAATACAGTGTTTTCTGGTGGGTTTTGGTGACCTTTCTGACCCCCCCCCCACCCCCCCAGGGGTCTTGACTTCCCAGGTTGAGAAATGCTGCCTTAAGGCCATCCAGTCCAACTCCCTTCACCAGGGCAAGAAAACATAATCCAAGCCCTCCTGACAAAGGGCCATCCAGCCATTCACAAAGGGCCACCCAGCCATCTATGTGTATGACAGATGCAGTCTCAAAGATTTGAAAGAAGGACAATGATATGTTGCATGTTCCAGGGTGGGCAAACCAGACACTCTCCACATCCACACTGGAAAGAAACAGCAAGAAATACTCCTTACCCACAAGCATCAAGACATGACATAGATTAGAAACCAACACTTTCTCATTACTTCATTTTCCAGATCACCAGACTGGGCCACAGCAACACCTGGCAGGGGACAGCTAGCCTATTTCTAGAGATGACAGGTTGCAGGTTCAAATCTGGGGAGAGTGCGGAGGAGCTCCCTCTATACCAGCTCCAGCTCCTCATACGGGGACATGAGTGGAGCCTCCCACAAGGAGGGTAACACATCAAAAGGAGAGAAAGAGGGAGGGAGGGAGAGAAAAGGGGGGAAGGAAGGGAAGAGAAGGAGAGAATGAAAGAAAAAAGGGAAGGAAGGAGAGGAAGGAAGGAGAGGGAAAGAGGGAGGGAAGGGAGAGAAGAAAGGAGGAAGAAAGGGAAGGGAGGGAGAGAAAGGGGAAGGAAGGAAGAGAGAGAAGGAAGGAGAGAATGAAAGAAAAGGGAAGGAAGGAGAGGAAGGAAGGAGGAGGGAAAGAGGGAGGGAAGGGAGGAAGAGAAGAAAGAAAGGAGGAAGAAAGGAAGGGAGGGAAGAAAGGGGAAGGAAGGGAAGAGAAGGAGGGAAGGAAGGAGAGAATGAAAGAAAAAAGGGAAGGAAGGAGAGGAAGGAAGGAGGAGAGGAAGAGGGAGGGAAGGTTGGCCACAGCAACGCGTGGCGGGTACAGCTAGTACAAAATAATATCATAACAGTAATCTAAGACTACATAATAATAATAGTATTGTCTCATCACTATATATATATATATATATATATATATATAAGAGTCGGAGACAAATGAACGAATGAACAACAACATATTATAATTATATATTTATATTACATGTAATATTACTAATAATATTACAATATAATTGGTATAGTACAATATAGCAATATTTAAAACTGATATTGTACTATGCTAATAATATAATATATTGTATGTATATATACCTTGTAAACCGCTCTGAGTCCCCTTCGGGGTGAGAGGTGGCATATAAATGTCGTGTGTATGTGTTTATGTATGTGTGTGTGTGTGTGTATATATATATATATTGACAGAAGCAAGTTGAAGGTACAGTTAAAATGCATAATAAAATAATACTTTTTTTGCATCAGGAGTGACTTGAGGAACTACCTCTGGGCAACGTCCTTGCAGACGGCCCATTCTCTCACACCAGAAGCGACTTGCAGTTTCATAAGTCGCTCCTGACACAACAAAAAAATTCATATCTATATATCCATATACCTGGAACTCCCTCCCTAAGGACATCAGGCATGCCCCAACCCTGGCAGTCTTCAGGAGGAGCTGGAAGACATGGTTGTTCCAGTGTGCCTTCCCCATAGCACTGTGTCCTCCAAGCACTTTACACGTTTAGGTCTGCTCGTATGTCCTTCCACAGACGCCACTGTCACCTTTTCGTCCATGCTTCAGCGCTATTTCCAATTTTAATTTTACCTTTGGCCTTCCCACGGTTTTAATTGTATGTTGTCTTATTGATAATGTCGCATGTTATTGTCTATGTTCTCAATTTTAATTGCTTGTATTGTTGTGTTTGGGCTCAGCCTCACGTAAGCGGCATCGAGTCCCTTGGGGAGATGGTAGCGGGGTATAAATAAAGATTATTATTATTATTATTCTCCATTGATTTCTCTTCCTATCCATTGATCCGCCTCTCTCTCTCTCTCTCCTCCAACGTACACACCGACCATGACACACACTGAGAAACCAGTGAGAGGAGGATTGGGGATTCCCAAAGGCCCTCCTGGCTGGCTGGCTGGCTGGACTGACCTTCTTCCTCTTCTCCTTCCGCAGCGGGGGGCCTGGAGGCTGGCGGGGCTGGGCAGGAAGGCGCCCTCCAGCGTGGCCGACATGGCTGGGCCGGCGGTGGCGCTCTTGACGCGCTCAGAGGCAGCACTCCTCCTGGCAACACAGAAGCAGGAAAGAGAGGGTGAGAGACAGGCACCAGGCTCCATCTTGGGCCTGCAGAGCCCTGTTCCAAAGCTGCCCAAGAAGGAGCCTCCCTCCGCCACCACACTCCCTCCCTCCCTCCCTCCGGGGAAGGCAGAGAGTTCCACTGGTGAACAGCTCTCCCAGGCAGGAAGTTCTTCCTCGTCTCCAGGTGGAATCTCCTCTCTTTCCTGTAGAGCAGTGGGCTCCCCAGATGTTTTTGGCCTCCAACTCCCAGAAATCCTGACAGCTGGTAAACTGGATGGGATTCTGGGAGTTGTAGGCCAAAGACACCTGGGGAGCCCAGGGAGAGAACCACTGCTGTAGAGCCCTAGAATCCCAGAAGAGTGGGAAGAGGCGCCTCCCGGGCCATCCCCCTCCTCACCCAGCACAACCCCCTTCTGGCAAGGATTCAAATCACCCCCGGCAGATGGCCAGAGAGCCAGAACTCACCTTCATCCCGAGGAGTGGAGAATGGAGAGAGAGGGAGGGAGGGAGGGGTGGCGGGGGAGAGCCTTCTTCCCGGAAGCGAGGGCCAGAGGAAGTGGCCGGCCCCGGGTTGCCAGGCAACCGCCCTCCCCCTCCCCCTGGGCTCCCCCGGTTTGTCGGCCCCTGACGTCACTTCCGCCTCTCCCCCACCCAAGCTGGCCCGGCCCGGCCTTCCGGGGAGAGAAGGAGGGAAGGAGGGAGGGAAGTGACTCAGCCCTGACTCACCAGACTGCCCGGCGCCGCCGCCGCCGCCACTGCCGTCTCCACCGCCCGAGGCCCACGCAGGCAGGCAGGGAGCGAGGCGGACAGGGCCCGGGACACAGGAAGAGGCCTACGCCTCCCCCTCTCCCCCTCCGCGCTGCCATGGCAACCGCCCCCTCCCCCCAGCCCCTTCCGGCCTTACCCAGAATGCAGCTGCAGGAAGAGCGGCACCACTACTGCGCACGCGCCTCACTCCACCCGCGCCTTACTCCTGGGCTCCGGCAGGCGCCGCGCTCTTATAGCCCGGAGGGGCGGGGCCTCCCCTGGCCACGCCCCCACACCTTCTCACTCCGCCCCTTGGCTCCCTCCCTCCCTCCCTCCCTTTTCTCTCTCTATCCTTCCATCCATCCATCCACCCTTCCTTCCTTTTCCCTCTTCCTCCCTCCTCCCTTCTTCTCTCCATCTCTTTTTTCTTTCTCTCTCTCTCTCCATCCTTCCATTCCTGCCTCCTTCCTTCCCTCTTTCTCCCTCCCTCCCTTTTCTCTCTCTCCTCCCATCCATCCACCCTTCCTTCCTTCCTTCCTTTCCCTCCTCTTCCTGCCTTCCTCCCTCATTCCCTTTCTTTATTCCTTCTATCCTTCCATCCTCTCCTCCTTCCTTCTCTCTCTCTCTCTCTCCCTCCCTCCTTCCCTCCCTCCTTCTTTTCCCTCTTTCTCCCTTCTCTCCATCTCTTTTTTCTTTCTCTCTCTCCCTCCATCCTTCCATTCCTGCCTCCTTCCTTCCCTCTTTCCTTCCTTCTCTCTCTCTCTCTCCCTCCCTCCTTCTTTTCCCTCTTTCTCCCTTCTCTCCATCTCTTTTTTCTTTCTCTCTCTCTCTCCATCCTTCCATTCCTGCCTCCTTCCTTCCCTCTTTCTCCCTCCCTTCTTCTCTCTCTATCCTTCCTTCCTTTCTTCCTTCCTTTCCCTCCTCTTCCTGCCTTCCTCCCTCATTCCCTTTCTTTATTCCTTCTATCCTTCCATCCTCTCCTCCTTCCTTCTCTCTCTCTCTCTCTCTCTCTCCCTCCCTCCTTCCCTCCCTCCTTCTTTTCCCTCTTTCTCCCTTCTCTCCTCTCTTTTCTTTCTCTCTCTCTCTCCATCCTTCCATTCCTGCCTCCTTCCTTCCCTCTTTCTCCCTCCCTCCCTTTTCTCTCTCTCTCCTCCCATCCATCCACCCTTCCTTCCTTCCTTCCTTTCCCTCCTCTTCCTGCCTTCCTCCCTCATTCCCTTTCTTTATTCCTTCTATCCTTCCATCCTCTCCTCCTTCCTTCTCTCTCTCTCTCTCTCTCCCTCCCTCCTTCTTTTCCCTCTTTCTCCCTTCTCTCCATCTCTTTTTTCTTTCTCTCTCTCTCTCCATCCTTCCATTCCTGCCTCCTTCCTTCCCTCTTTCTCCCTCCCTCCCTTTTCTCTCTCTCTCCTCCCATCCATCCACCCTTCCTTCCTTCCTTCCTTTCCCTCCTCTTCCTGCCTTCCTCCCTCATTCCCTTTCTTTATTCCTTCTATCCTTCCATCCTCTCCTCCTTCCTTCTCTCTCTCTCTCTCTCTCTCTCCCTCCCTCCTTCTTTTCCCTCTTTCTCCCTTCTCTCCATCTCTTTTTTCTTTCTCTCTCTCCCTCCATCCTTCCATTCCTGCCTCCTTCCTTCCCTCTTTCTCCCTCCCTCCCTTTTCTCTCTCTCTCCTCCCATCCATCCACCCTTCCTTCCTTCCTTCCTTTCCCTCCTCTTCCTGCCTTCCTCCCTCATTCCCTTTCTTTATTCCTTCTATCCTTCCATCCTCTCCTCCTTCCTTCTCTCTCTCTCTCTCTCTCTCTCCCTCCCTCCTTCTTTTCCCTCTTTCTCCCTTCTCTCCATCTCTTTTTTCTCTCTCTCTCTTTCTCCATCCTTCCATTCCTGCCTCCTTCCTTCCCTCTTTCTCCCTCCCTCCCTTTTCTCTCTCTCTCCTCCCATCCATCCACCCTTCCTTCCTTCCTTCCTTCCTTCCTTTCCCTCCTCTGCCTTCCTCCCTCATTCCCTTTCTTTATTCCTTCTATCCTTCCATCCTCTCCTCCTTCCTTCCTTCTCTCTCTCTCCCTCCCTCCCTCCTTCTTTTCCCTCTTTCTCCCTTCTCTCCATCTCTTTTTTCTTTCTCTCTCTCTCTCCATCCTTCCATTCCTGCCTCCTTCCTTCCCTCTTTCTCCCTCCCTCCCTTTTCTCTCTCTCTCCTCCCATCCATCCACCCTTCCTTCCCTTCCTTCCTTCCTTTCCCTCCTCTTCCTGCCTTCCTCCCTCATTCCCTTTCTTTATTCCTTCTATCCTTCCATCCTCTCCTCCTTCCTTCTCTCTCTCTCTCCCTCCCTCCTTCCCTCCCTCCTTCTTTTCCCTCTTTCTCCCTTCTCTCCATCTCTTTTTTCTTTCTCTCTCTCTCCATCCTTCCATTCCTGCCTCCTTCCTTCCCTCTTTCTCCCTCCCTCCCTTTTCTCTCTCTCTCCTCCCATCCATCCACCCTTCCTTCCTTCCTTCCTTTCCCTCCTCTTCCTGCCTTCCTCCCTCATTCCCTTTCTTTATTCCTTCTATCCTTCCATCCTCTCCTCCTTCCTTCTCTCTCTCTCTCTCTCTCTCTCCCTCCCTCCTTCTTTTCCCTCTTTCTCCCTTCTCTCCATCTCTTTTTTCTTTCTCTCTCTCTCTCCATCCTTCCATTCCTGCCTCCTTCCTTCCCTCTTTCTCCCTCCCTCCCTTTTCTCTCTCTCTCCTCCCATCCATCCACCCTTCCTTCCTTCCTTCCTTTCCCTCCTCTTCCTGCCTTCCTCCCTCATTCCCTTTCTTTATTCCTTCTATCCTTCCATCCTCTCCTCCTTCCTTCTCTCTCTCTCTCTCTCTCTCCCTCCCTCCTTCTTTTCCCTCTTTCTCCCTTCTCTCCATCTCTTTTTTCTTTCTCTCTCTCTCTCCATCCTTCCATTCCTGCCTCCTTCCTTCCCTCTTTCTCCCTCCCTCCCTTTTCTCTCTCTCTCCTCCCATCCATCCACCCTTCCTTCCTTCCTTCCTTTCCCTCCTCTTCCTGCCTTCCTCCCTCATTCCCTTTCTTTATTCCTTCTATCCTTCCATCCTCTCCTCCTTCCTTCTCTCTCTCTCTCTCTCTCTCTCCCTCCCTCCTTCTTTTCCCTCTTTCTCCCTTCTCTCCATCTCTTTTTTCTTTCTCTCTCTCTCTCCATCCTTCCATTCCTGCCTCCTTCCTTCCCTCTTTCTCCCTCCCTCCCTTTTCTCTCTCTCTCCTCCCATCCATCCACCCTTCCTTCCTTCCTTCCTTTCCCTCCTCTTCCTGCCTTCCTCCCTCATTCCCTTTCTTTATTCCTTCTATCCTTCCATCCTCTCCTCCTTCCTTCTCTCTCTCTCTCCCTCCCTCCTTCCCTCCCTCCTTCTTTTCCCTCTTTCTCCCTTCTCTCCATCTCTTTTTTCTTTCTCTCTCTCTCTCCATCCTTCCATTCCTGCCTCCTTCCTTCCCTCTTTCTCCCTCCCTCCCTTTTCTCTCTCTCTCCTCCCATCCATCCACCCTTCCTTCCTTCCTTCCTTTCCCTCCTCTTCCTGCCTTCCTCCCTCATTCCCTTTCTTTATTCCTTCTATCCTTCCATCCTCTCCTCCTTCCTTCTCTCTCTCTCTCCCTCCCTCCTTCCCTCCCTCCTTCTTTTCCCTCTTTCTCCCTTCTCTCCATCTCTTTTTTCTTTCTCTCTCTCTCTCCATCCTTCCATTCCTGCCTCCTTCCTTCCCTCTTTCTCCCTCCCTCCCTTTTCTCTCTCTCTCCTCCCATCCATCCACCCTTCCTTCCTTCCTTCCTTCCTTCCTTTCCCTCCTCTTCCTGCCTTCCTCCCTCATTCCCTTTCTTTATTCCTTCTATCCTTCCATCCTCTCCTCCTTCCTTCTCTCTCTCTCTCTCTCCCTCCCTCCTTCCCTCCCTCCTTCTTTTCCCTCTTTCTCCCTTCTCTCCATCTCTTTTTTCTTTCTCTCTCTCTCTCCATCCTTCCATTCCTGCCTCCTCCCTTCCCTCCTCCCTCCCTTCTCTCTCTCCCTCCCTCCTTCTTTTCCCTCTTTCTCCCTTCTCTCCATCTCTTTTTTCTTTCTCTCTCTCTCTCCATCCTTCCATTCCTGCCTCCTTCCTTCCCTCTTTCTCCCTCCCTCCCTTTTCTCTCTCTCTCCTCCCATCCATCCACCCTTCCTTCCTTCCTTCCTTTCCCTCCTCTTCCTGCCTTCCTCCCTCATTCCCTTTCTTTATTCCTTCTATCCTTCCATCCTCTCCTCCTTCCTTCTCTCTCTCCCTCCCTCCTTCCCTCCCTCCTTCTTTTCCCTCTTTCTCCCTTCTCTCCATCTCTTTTTTCTTTCTCTCTCTCTCTCCATCCTTCCATTCCTGCCTCCTTCCTTCCCTCTTTCTCCCTCCCTCCCTTTTCTCTCTCTCTCCTCCCATCCATCCACCCTTCCTTCCTTCCTTCCTTTCCCTCCTCTTCCTGCCTTCCTCCCTCATTCCCTTTCTTTATTCCTTCTATCCTTCCATCCTCTCCTCCTTCCTTCTCTCTCTCTCTCTCTCTCTCCCTCCCTCCTTCTTTTCCCTCTTTCTCCCTTCTCTCCATCTCTTTTTTCTTTCTCTCTCTCTCTCCATCCTTCCATTCCTGCCTCCTTCCTTCCCTCTTTCTCCCTCCCTCCCTTTTCTCTCTCTCTCCTCCCATCCATCCACCCTTCCTTCCTTCCTTCCTTTCCCTCCTCTTCCTGCCTTCCTCCCTCATTCCCTTTCTTTATTCCTTCTATCCTTCCATCCTCTCCTCCTTCCTTCTCTCTCTCTCTCTCTCTCTCTCCCTCCCTCCTTCTTTTCCCTCTTTCTCCCTTCTCTCCATCT